AGGCCAACATGGCTGGTGGACCGCTCTTTCGCCTGAGGACTGCTTCCTTTAGGAGCGTTTTCCTCGTAGTGGACTTGGATCCTCGAGCAGTAGAGTACGCTGCAGTGTCCAGGGATTCTGCTGAGGGGGCCGGGATGTCAGTGGAGAGGGCTGCATAGCGGTTTGCCAGACTCAGGACATGGGCCACGGCGCAGGATGGCTCCTCGGAATCCGCGGGCTCGTTATTCGTAAGCGGGCGCTTAGGTGTAGAACAGGAGGGTCCGGAGCTGACGGATCTCTCCCACACGACAGTGTCACAATATGCAGCACTCAGTGACATCAGCCGTGAATGCTGCCCACCAGCGACTTCAAAAAGTTTGGATACTAGAGATTGTTTCTCATTCAACTCTGCGGTGAGACGAAGGACTTCTTTTCGTAGATCTGCAATGGTGGCACGGTCGCTCTCACGGAGCTCCAAGGTGAGGCGACTAATATTGTGCATGTTTGAGCCAATTTCATTGTCACTTTCCATGTCCTCGTTAGCTTGTGTTAGCCTCTGTGCTACTAGTGGGTTTCAGTCGGGACTAAGTGCTATTTGCTGAAACCACTGAATTAAAAAGATAAAACACTCAGATATATTAAAAAACTGAACAATAAAAACGCGCTAAAAAGTTGTTAAAAGTTTACTAAAAAGGTGCACAGAGCAGCCCTGCAGTACTGCTTACTTTGACACACCTGCGTTCATTCTACACCTCCCTCTGCTGGCAGCACCCTCTCTTGGACCAAAAGTTTGACCAAAAGTAACTAAGGCTTTAACCCAAACGTAGAATTTATGTAAAGAAACAACAAAGGTCCTAGTACTGACCCCTGGGGGACTCCACAGGATCTATATTTGATTAATGACTTAAAGCTTATGACTTGTGACCAAGTCCCGGCGATCCAAGATGGTGCCGTATTCAAATAAATGGTTTGTGCTCAGTGGCGCATGTGCCGGCACGGTCGCTGACATATTAGCAGAACTCGCCATATCACTCGCTATATTTGGGCATCGTCTGGTCCTCCCGGTTCGTGCACAGAGGGGCTCGGCCGCACTCTGCTGATCAGAGCAGGATTTAGAGCGGTTCTAGAGCGGGAAGGAAAACAGCAGAGTTTGTGGCAGTAAAGTATGGATTGAAAGAAAACCAAATGATTTAAGAAGAAAAAAGTTCAGGACGACAAGGGACACTAAAATCCCCACAAAATCAGACCTTTATGAAAGCTGTAGGTTCTCTGTCAGCTGAGGTCGAGCTGTTTCAGTTTACACTGAGTTCTATAGGGATAATGTATGGGTAGCCCACGTGAATTTGAACCTGTTGACATTAGTGTTAGCTAGTTCATGTTGACGTTAGTGTTAGCTAGTTCATGTTGACGTTAGTGTTAGCTAGTTCATGTTGACGTTAATATTAGCTAGTTCCTGTGACGTTTGTGTTAGCTAGTTCCCTTCAATAGCAAATACAAAGCTTTTGTTTTGACACAAACCTGTCGATCTTTGTGTCATGTCATTTTATTCCCCTTTATTCTAATCCATTCCTGGGTCGGGGGTGACGATCAGAGCTGCACCACATATGTTACACACGTATAACACTAGTGTAAACACTACCATAGGTTCAAACATGTTACAGCATTCAGACTGTACAACGAACACTGCTGACTCTGTACACATCTTATATATGTGATAATGTATTCTGTTAATTTACATTTATTTTATACAAAAGCTGTGACTTTTATAGAAATCAATGTTCTGAATTAGAAGGTGCAGCATTCTGACTGACTGTAAGAGGAGGTGCAGCGTGCTGATTGGCTGTAATAGGACAGGAAATACAGAGTTATTTAAAGATGTTTATCTGTGATTACAGCTCAACATCAGAACAACCTGGACTCACAAGACCAAAAACAGACACAGGCAGAGGCAGAGAGAGACACAGACAGAGACAGAGACAGAGACAGAGACAGAGGCAGAGACAGAGACAGAGACAGAGACAGAGGCAGAGGCAGAGGCAGAGGCAGAGGCAGAGACAGAGACAGAGACAGAGGCAGAGGCAGAGACTGAGGCAGAGACAGAGGCAGAGGCAGAGGCAGAGGCAGAGGCAGAGACAGAGACAGAGACAGAGACAGAGACAGAGACAGAGACAGAGACAGAGGCAGAGGCAGAGGCAGAGGCAGAGACAGAAACCGAGGCCGAGGCCGAGGCAGAATCAGAGGCAGAGACAAAGACAGAGACAAAGACAGAGACAGAAGCAGATGCAGGGACAGAGGCAGAGGCAGAAAGAGAGGCAGAGGCCGAGGCAGAGACAGAGACAGAGGCAGAGGCAGAGACAGAGACAGAGACAGAGGCAGAGGCAGAGGCAGAGACAGAGGCAGAGACAGAGACAGAGACAGGCAGAGGCAGAGACAGAGACAGAGGCAGAGACAGAGACAGAGACAGGCAGAGGCAGAGACAGAGACAGAGATAATATCTGTACACTGAGCAGGCCTAGTGTCACATGACCTCCTTAATCCAATCAGAGGCAGAGACTGGAAAGAGAGCCAATCATTACTTCCCCTGGTCTAGTTACATAACCTTGGATTCTCTCACAAATAGAAACTGAAGACGCCCAAAATGCACAACTGCAAATAAAAGTTATGAAATAGGCCTATAAGTACACACTATTCATCCATCCATCCATTTACTTCTGCAGAGGAAGCTCATTCGACCACTTTCGGTCATTACTCAAAGCTCAAAACCAGAGGTGAGAGGGGGGAGCTCTGACTGCAGACGCTGCTCCCTCATAACCAGAGGTGAGGGAGGGAACGAAGATTGACCGGTATATTGAGAGCTTTGTCTTTCGACAGCTCCCTCTTCACCACAGCTGTCTGATATAGCTCTGACTGCATCACTGCGCACGCTGCACCGATCCGCCTGTCAATCTCACCCTGAGATACTTGAACTCCTCTACTTGAGGAAGGACCTGTCCACCTGGAGAGGAAAGCACCCTTTTCCGGTCGAGCACCATGGCCTCGGATTTGGAGGTGCTAATTCTCATCCCAGCCGCTTCACACTCGGCTGCTAACCGTCCCAGTGCATGCTGCAGGTCCTGGTTCGTTGGAGCCAACAGGACAACATCGTCCGCAAACAGCAGAGATTAAATCCTGTGGTCCCCGAACCAGACCCCCTCCGGCCCCTGGCTGTGGTCTCTGAACCAGACCCCAACGACCCCTGGCTGAGCCTACAACTTCAGTCCATAAAGACAGTGAACAGAACCGGTGACAAAGGGCAGCCCTGGCGGAGGCCAAAATGCACCAAGAACAAGTCTGACTTACTGTCGGCAATGCAAACACAGCTCTGGCTCCGGTCATACAGGGACCTCAGCAGAGGGCCGTCCCTGTACTCCCGGAGAACCCCCCAAAGGACACACCGGGGAACACGGTCGAACGCCTTCTCCAAATCCACAAAGTACATGTGGACAGGTTGGGCGAACTCCCATGATCCTCGAGTATCCGATGAAGAGTATAGAGCTGGTCCTGTGTTCCGCGGCCGGGACGAAAACCACACTGCTCCTCCTGAATCAGAGATTCGACCATCGGCCGTAGCCTCCTCTCCAGTACCTTGGAGTAGACCTTACCGGGGAGGCTGAGGAGTGTGATCCCACGATAATTGGAACACACCCTCCGGTCCCCCTTCTTGTAGAGAGGGACCACCACCCCGGTCTGAGAGGGACCACCAGGTAGATGGAAGTATCCGCTCCAACATCCTCAGCCTCTGCCTTCGGAACGGAGGATGTGACGGGGGGGATTGAGGAGAACCTCAAAGTATTCCTTCCACCGCCCGACACTATCCCCAGTCGAGGTCTGCAGCTCTCCACTTGCACCATACACGGTGTTGGCAAAGAACTACTTCCCCCTCCTGAGGCGCCAGACGATTTGCCAGAATCTCTTTGAGGCCATGCTCCATGGACTCTCCGAACTCCTCCCAGTCCCGGGTTTTGCCTCTGCAACAGCCCGGGCCACGGCACAATTGGCCAGCCGGTACTGGACAGCTGCCTCAGGAGCCCCACGAACCATCATGGCTCGATAGGACTCCTTTTACAGTCTGACGGCATCCCATGCTACCGGTGTCTACCACCGGGTTTGTGGGTTGCCGTCAGGACCAGTACCAGAGACCAGCGACCACAGCTACAAGCTGCTGCATCGGTGATAGTAGAGTACTGGGAAAACTGAGAACATTGAGAAAACTGTGAAACTGTAAAAAAGGAAATACTGAAAATAATTAGGTTACAGTTAATATTGAGAATACTAGGAAATATATTGGAAATATTGGAAATACTGGAAATATTGGAAATACTGGCAAAACTGAAATACTGGGAATACTGAGAATTCTGGGAGTACCCATCTGCACTGTGGAACTGTCTGTCTGTCTGTCTGTCTGTCTGTCTGTCTGTCTGTGTGTCTGTCTCTCTGTCTGTCTGTGTCTGTCTGTCTGTGTGTCTGTCGCTCTGTGTCTGTCTGTCTGTCTGTCCTGGCGCTGTAGACCACAGAGGGTGAACAGTTTCTTCATTGCTTGTGTCTCTTGCTGAGTGTTTGTTTGTTCATTGTCGATGAAACAACAGAAAGAAAGTCTTTGTGATTCGCTTTGACTAAAGTGAAAATCTCAGAATGAACAGAAGAAAATAATCTTTATTTATACAACGTCTTTCACAGACTCACAAAGTGTTTTCCAATTGTGTGTATTTGTCTCTCACACAGGTCACACAGTCCGCTGTCAGGACTATTGTGTATGTATCAGAGGTAGGGTAAACCTATGCAGACACAGGGAGAACATGCAAACTCCACTCAGAAAGGCCTTGTTCCGACCGGGTTTTGAACCCAAGATCCGCCCACGGCAGAACACACACAACACAGAAGCCACTGTACATGCACAACATCCATCTCTGCTGCGCTTTGCCCGGTGACATTTAGCCTGTGTGTGTGTGTGTGGGGGGGGGGGCAGTGATTGAGGGGTCGTGATGAGGGGGGGCAGTGATGGGGTTGGGGGGCTGCACTTTTCCACTGTGATTACTCTCACCGTCCTCAGGCCACATCACAGCAGTATGCAGATGAGCCAGCGGGGGGCGCTCTGTGTGGGGGAGGGGCTGTCTCTTCATTATGGGATATGTCACAGGAGTGACTTATACAGAGTCATGGTCCACAGAGACCGCAGAGACCAGAGAGACCGCAGAGACCGCAGAGACCGCAGAGACCGCAGAGACCGCAGGGACCGCAGAGACCGCAGAGACCAGAGAGACCGCAGAGACCGCAGAGACCAGAGAGACCGCATAAACCACAGAGACCAGAGAGACCAGAGAGACCGCATAAACCACAGAGACCAGAGAGATCACAGAGACCAGAGAGAGCACAGAGACCAGAGAGACCAGAGAGACCGCAGAGACCACAGAGACCAGAAAGACCAGAGAGACCAGAGAGACCAGTAAGACCGCAGAGACCACAGAGACCAGAGAGACCACAGAGACCAGAGAGACCAGAGAGACCGCAGAGACCACAGAGACCAGAGAGACCACAGAGACCAGAGAGACCAGAGAGACCTCAGAGACCACAGAGACCAGAGAGACCACAGAGACCAGAGACCGCAGAGACCGCAGAGACCGCAGAGACCACAGAGACCAGAGAGACCAGAGAGACCGCAGAGACCGCAGACACCACAGAGACCAGAGAGACCAGAGAGACCAGAGAGACCAGAGAGACCAGAGAGACCGCAGAGACCGCAGAGACCACAGAGACCACAGAGACCACAGAGACCACAGAGACCAGAGAGACCAGAGACCGCAGAGACCACAGAGACAGCAGAGACCAGAGACCGCAGAGACCGCAGAGACCACAGAGACCACAGACCGAAGAGACCGCAGAGACCGCAGAGACCGCAGAGAGACCAGAGAGACCACAGAGACCAGAGAGAGACCAGAGAGACCACAGAGACCAGAGACACCACAGAGACCAGAGAGACCAGAGAGACCAGAGATACCACAGAGACCACAGAGACAGAGACTGCTGAGACCGCAGAGACCGCAGAGACCACAGAGACCACAGAGACCACAGAGACCACAGAGACCAGAGACCAGGATCACAGAGACCACAGAGACTACAGAGACCACAGAGACCACAGAGACTACAGAGACCACAGAGACCAGAGAGACCACAGCAGGTGGTCCACTGTTTCTGAGACCGGTCTAACAGACTCTGCTTCTGTATCTGTTGTGATGTCACAGAGTCTTATCTGCCCTGGTCAGACCTGCTGTGATTGACAGGAGGATTAACCAATCAGGGATCGACACTCCCCACAGACACAGGTACAATCATGTGTTGTGTCTTTGGGCAAGACACTTATCGAATATAGGAACAGACTTTTCTGAGTGTGTGTGTGTGTGTGTCTCTGTGTGTGGTTCTGTGTTTGCGTGTGTGTATGTTTGTGTGTGTGTGTGTGTTTGTGTGTGTGTGTATGTGTGTGTGTGTATCTGTCTGTGTGTATCTCTGTGTGTGGCTGTGTATGTGTGTGTGTGTGTGTGTGTGAGCGTGTGTGTGTGTGTGTGTCTAAAGTGTGTTACATAACGACACTAATCCTGACTATTAAACAGGCACTGAGTTATGGTGAAATATAAACGGTTTCAGTTTTGCCGACTCTCACAGTGACCTGTCCATCAAAGATTAGTCCACTCCTAAGTCCCGCCCACTTGTGCCTGCCGTCCTATCAGGCTACAGCTTTTCCACAGTCAGGATTAGTCACTGCACTTTCCTCCTTTAAAGACATGATATGTGGACTTCTATCTCCTCTGTCTCCTCTGTCTCCTCTGTCTCCTCTGTCTCAACTGTCTTAACTGTCTCCTCTCTCTCCTCTCTCTCCTCTGTCTCCTCTGTCTCCTCTGTCTCCTCTCTCTCCTCTGTCTCCTCTCTCTCCTCTCTCTCCTCTCTCTCCTCCGTCTCCTCTGTCTCCTCCGTCTCCTCTGTCTCTTCTCTCTCCTCTGTCTCCTCTGTCTCCTCTGTCTCCTCTGTCTCCTCTGTCTCCTCCGTCTCCTCTCTCTCCTCCGTCTCCTCTGTCTCCTCCGTCTCCTCCGTCTCCTCCGTCTCCTCTGTCTCCTCTGTCTCCTCTCTCTCCTCCGTCTCCTCTGTTTCCTCTGTCTCCTCTGTCTCTTCTGTCTCCTCCGTCTCCTCCGTCTCCTCCGTCTCCTCTGTCTCCTCTGTCTCCTCCGTCTTCTCCGTCTCCTCCGTCTCCTCTGACTCCTCTCTCTCCTCTCTCTCCTCTGTCTCCTCTGTCTCCTCTGTCTCAACTGTCTCAACTGTCTCCTATCTCTCCTCTGTCTCCTCTCTCTCTTTTCTCTCCTCTCTCTCCTCTGTCTCCTCTATCTCCTCTCTCCTCTCTCTCCTCTCTCTCCTCTGTCTCCTCTGTCTCCTCTGTCTCCTCTGTCTCCTCTGTCTCAACTGTCTTAACTGTCTCCTCTCTCTCCTCTCTCTCCTCTGTCTCCTCTGTCTCCTCTGTCTCAACTGTCTCAACTGTCTCCTATCTCTCCTCTGTCTCCTCTCTCTCTTTTCTCTCCTCTCTCTCCTCTGTCTCCTCTCTCTCTTTTCTCTCCTCTCTCTCCTCTGTCTCATCTCTCTCCTCTGTCTCCTCTGTCTCCTCTCTCTCCTCTGTCTCCTCTGTCTCCTCTCTCTCCTCTGTTTCCTCTGTCTCCTCTGTCTCCTCCGTCTCCTCTCTCCCCTCTGTTTCCTCTGTCTCCTCTGTCTCCTACGGCTCCTCTGTCTCCTCTGTCTCCTCTGTCTCCTACGGCTCCTCTGTCTCCTCTGTCTCCTCTCTCTCCTCTGTTCTTTCTTTCTCCTCTGTCTCCTCTTTTCTCTGTCTTCTCTGTCTCTATCGTATTTATCATAATACGTCAACCATTAACTAAAACTGACTGCCCTGACACTGTCTCCACGGAGACGCAGTCACATGTTTTTAAAGTATTATTATTATTATATTATTAAGTATCTTATATAGTGCCTTTCTCAGACCAAAGCCACAGAGCACTGTTACATTTGTCTCCTCACACAGATGGAGTCACCTGCAGGAGGCACAGACCTATTGTACATGCTTTCTGGGCTAGAGAAAACCGGAGCACCTGGAGGCAACAGGAGCACCTGGAGGAAACCAGGTGCTCTCTGTGTCTCTGTGTGGTGCAGTCCATGGTCCTGGTGTGTCTCTGTGTGGTGCAGTCCATGGTCCTGGTGTGTCTCTGTGTGGTGCAGTCCATGGTCCTGGTGTGTCTCTGTGTGGTGCTGTCCGTGGTGCTGGTGTGTCTCTGTGTGGTTCAGTCCATGGTCCTGGTGTGTCTCTGTGTGGTGCAGTCCATGGTGCTGGTCTGGTTACCATGATCTCAGCTGAAAGACTTCTGTGGGATGTTTTAAAATGCATAAAATAAACCATGTTGAGTGCGGACACACACACACACACAGACAGACACACACACACACACAAACACAGACAAACAGACACACACACACACTGACACACACACACACACGCACACAAACACAGACACACACACAAACACAGACACACACGCACGCACACACACAAACACAGACACACGCACACAAACACAGACAAACACAGACACACACACCCACACACACAGACACACACACACACACACACACACACAGACACACACACACAAACACACACACACAAACACAGACACACACACAGTCACTCCTCTCGCTCAAATCTGCTGTTAGTGAGGAACAATTCCTTGACTTCAACAGATGGAATGTGACCTGCAACATTCACATAAACATGTGGCTTTGGTAAACACTGTGTTAGAACATAGATACAAACAGCAGCAGATCTTGATCTGTTTCTGTTTCTGGGGAAATCTGACATGCGCGTGAGTGACGGAGGTTAGACACACAACAGAAACACAATAGATACACAACAGAGACACAACAGAGACACACAGTCTTTCAACATGAACAGCCTCCTTTCATTCCTCCGCTGCTCTGCAGCAGCGCAACTGGTGTCCAACCTGTGCCAGTCACACACACACACACAGACACTTAGACACACACACAGACAGACATTTAGACACGCACACCGACACACACAGACACTTAGACACACGCGCACACACACGCACAGGTGAAATTGACACAAATGAATTCATCAAGACTGCTAATGAGACACTAACGCGCGCGCACACACCTCGTGAGGAGCTCATGTTTTATCACATGTTTTACATCATCTCTGTCATCTCTGACCGACACTTCCCCGGAGCACCCGCAGAAACACACACCGAGCTACTCACTGGATTCATCCGAGTCGTAGCCCTCCACATCGGGCTCCTCGTCCCTCCTGGAGCCGCCACTGGCTCCGGGAGACGTCCCCGAGGCGACCATCGGCTTCTCCGGGTCCTTCTCCCGGTCCTTCTCCCGGTCCCTGTCTCGGTCCCTGTCTCGGTCCCGGTCCCGCGGGGGCGCAGCGGCCGCGGGGAAAGGCAGCCCTCTGGGGTAGCGGGGGAAGTAGTCTGAGATCTGCCGGATGGGCTGGATGGGCCCGGGGCACACGTCGATGGCCATGTGCTCCTGGATACTGACGCTCGGCTTCTCTGCTCTGCGCTGTGTCATGTGTCCTCAGTGCGTTCCGCATCTGCCGCGGCGCGCGCCAGAGCCTGTTGCGTCTGGAGGAGTCTGCTGAGGGTCTGCTGAGGGTCTGCTGAGGGTCTGCCGTGTGTGTGTCTTTGTGTGTCTGTGACGCTCCTGTGCCGCGCGGTGTCTGTGCGCGTCTGAAACCTTTCGGTGAGCGGTTGTGTGTATGTGTGTGCGTGCGTGTGCGTCCATGTGTGTGTGCGTGCGTGTGTGTGTGTGTGTGTGTGTGCGTGTGTTTGTGTTGAGGGGTGAGAGTGTTTGGACACTAATTTATTGTTGACTTCGTCCCAAATCTATATTGTGCAGGTTTTTCATAAATTAAGGTACAAAATCCACGTTTTGCTTCTCCACAGTCTTCAGACACACACCTGGTGTTGGTTCATGATCTTCAGACACACACCTGGTGTTGGTTCATGGTCTTCAGACACACACCTGGTGTTGGTTCATGGTCTTCAGACACACACCTGGTGTTGGTTCATGATCTTCAGACACACACCTGGTGTTGGTTCATGGTCTTCAGACACACACCTGGTGTTGGTTCATGATCTTCAGACACACACCTGGTGTTGGTTCATGGTCTTCAGACACACACCTGGTGTTGGTTCATGGTCTTCAGACACACACTTGGTGTTGGTTCATGGTCTTCAGACACACAACTGGTGTTAGTTTATGGTCTTCAGACACACACCTGGTGTTGGTTCATAATCTTCAGGTATCATCAGTTTGAAACAGTTGAAAAGTCAAAGTTTCTCTCTCCCTGTTCTCCCTGTTTGCATGTTCTCCTGTTTGCATGTTCCCCTGTTTGCATGTTCTCCTGTTTGCATGTTCTCCTGTTTGCATGTTCTCCTGGTGCCTCATCAGCTACAGTGTGTGTCTAGATTACTTGAGTATCCTAATCCTAATCCAGGCTCAGATTGTTCAGAGCAGAATCATCATCAGGACATTTTCAAAAGTCAAAAACAATACGTTTATAGTATCTTTAAAAACTGGAACAATACGAGACACAGAGATATGTCCAGAGATCATTTAAAAGGGTGAGAAAGTGGGGCCTGGGATTAGAGAGAGAGGGAGAGTACATGGGATTAGAACGAGCCTGGATCAGCTGACAGCGCTGCCATGGCAACAGGGCCGTAAACAGGAGCAGTGCTTAGCGTCACATTAACCCACTCCATCTGTCTGTGTCCACTCACGCAGCAGGATTATCCCTGACCTCAGGGCCAAATATCACATTCAGATTATCTGCAGTAAAACCACAGTGGAATAAATGTGCAAGAGTCCCCAGTCTGCAGCAGACGAGGACAGACATAAAACAGGACAAAAACAAAAACAATCAAGGTCATGAAAGTCTTTGTTCACTCTGAAAACATATCTGAAAGAAGCTGTAGCATGTTAGCATGTTAGCATGTCCAGATGTCCTGCAGCCAACCATATCTTCGGCCACAGAGAAGAAGCTGGAACATGGCTTTTCCAGGGCCAGAAGAGTCATTGATTATTCTAAAGTATGAAAATAAGTCTGGATTCATTAAGAACCTCTTGAACAGATGGATCACAGTCTCTGTCTGGTTTCTCTGTGGTCTTACTCTGGTCTTTCTCTGCTCTCTCTCTGGTCTCGCTCTGGTCTCTCTCTGGTCTCTCTCTGGTCTATCTCTGGACTCTCTCTGGTGTATCACTGGTCTCTCTCTGGTTTCTATGTGGTCTTTCTCTGGTCTCTCTCTGGTCTCTCACTGGTCACTTTCTGGTCTATCTCTCTGGTCTTTCTCTGCTCTCTCTCTGCTCTCTCTCTGCTCTCTCTCTGGTCTCTCTCTTGACTCTCTCTGGTTTCTCACTGGTTTCTCTGTGGTCTTTCTCTGGTCTCTCTCTGGTCTCTTCCTGGTCTGTCTCTCTGGTCTTTCTCTGCTCTCTCTCTGCTCTCTCTCTGCTCTCTCTCTGCTCTCTCTCTGCTCTCTCTCTGGTCTCTCTCTGGTCTCGCTCTGGTCTCGCTCTGGTCTCGCTCTGGTCTCGCTCTGGTCTCTTTCTGGTCTCTCTCTCTGGTCTCTCTCTGGTCTCTCTCTGGTCTCTCTCTGGTCTCTCTCTGGTGTCTTCCTGGTCTGTCTCTCTGGTCTTTCTCTGCTCTCTCTCTGCTCTCTCTCTGCTCTCTCTCTGGTCTCTCTCTGCTCTCTCTCTGCTCTCTCTCTGCTCTCTCTCTGCTCTCGCTCTGGTCTCGCTCTGGTCTCTCTCTGGTCTCTCTCTGGTCTCTCTCTGGTCTCTCTCTGGTCTCTCTCTGCTCTCGCTCTGGTCTCACTCTGGTCTTTCTCTGGACTCTCTTTTACTTTATTATATTCCTTTTTTGATGAGGATGAAGTCACATAGTGAACTTGCAGAATGTGTCCTTTCACTCCCATAAGATCCTGAGTCCTGCGCCACAGACTGCACCTGCTACACGAGGACAGCGTCCTCTGGTGGAGACTCTGCGCTCTCACAGCCCTCAGTATGTGTATTTATTTGTGTATATGTGTATATGACTGCCGGTCACGACACACCAACCTGTGCACAGCCTGGATTGATTACCAGAAAGCCTACGACTCAATGCCACACACATGGATCATGGAATGCTTGAAGTTGTACAATATCAACAGGGACTTCGTTGCAAACTCGATGGGAATGTGGAAGACCACCCTTGAGGCAAATGGCAAGCCGCTCGCACAAGTGACCATCAAATGTGGTATCTACCAAGGAGATGCTCTGTCCCCACTACTGTTCTGCATAGGCCTCAACCCTCTAAGCCAAGTAATTGACCAGACTGGCTATGGATACCGCCTCAGGAACGGAGCAAAGATCAGTCACCTCCTCTACATGGATGACATCAAGCTGTACGCCAAGAGCGAGAGAGACATCGACTCTCTGATCCAAACAACCAGGATCTACAGCCATGACATCGGGATGTCATTCGGGCTCGAGAAATGTAGCAGGATGGTGACTCGGAGAGGCAAGGTAGTCCACACAGAAGGGATCTCACTCCCAGAGGGAACAATAGCAGACGTTGAGGACAGTTACAAGTATCTCGGTATACCACAGGCAAATGGCAACCTCGAACAGGTGACGAGGAAAGCGGCAACTGCCAAATACCTCCAGCGAGTAAGGCAGGTCCTAAGAAGCCGGCTCAATGGCAAGAACAAGGCCCGGGCAATTAACAGCTACGCCCTGCCAGTGATCAGATACCCTGCAGGAATAATCAGGTGGCCAAAGGAAGAGATTCAGACCACGGATGTTAAAACTCGAAAGCGCCTTTACCATGCATGGCGGGTTCCATCCCAAATCCAGCACCCTGAGACTGTACGTAAGCCGTAAAGAAGGAGGCCGAGGACTAGTGAGTGTGAGAGCCACTGTCCAGGACGAAACATCCAAACTCCATAACTACATCATGGAGAAGGCCAAAAGGGATGACGTACTCAGTGAATGTCTCAGGCAGTGGCGAGATGAGGAGGTGCTGGAGGAGAGCCCATCATGGGAGAACAAGCCCCTACACGGCATGTACCACCGGAGCATAACAGAAGTGGCTGATCTCAAGAAGTCCTACCAATGGCTAGAAAGGGCTGGCCTACAGGACAGCACAGAGGCACTCATCATGGCTGCACAGGAGCAGGCCCTGAGCACCAGAGCGATAGAGGCCCAGATATACCACACCAGACAAGACCCAAGGTGTCGGTTGTGCAAAGAGGCACCTGAGACGATCCAACACATAACTGCAGGGTGCAAGATGCTGGCAGGGAAGGCCTACATGGAACGCCATAACCAAGTGGCTGGCATAGTGACGTACAGAAACATCTGTGCAGAGTATGGGCTGGAAACCCCAAGGTCTAAGTGGGAAACTCCTCCAAAGGTGGTGGAGAATGAGCGTGCGAAAATCCTGTGGGACTTCCAGATACAGACCGACCGAATGGTAATGGCGAACCAACCTGACATTGTGGTGGTAGACAAAGGGCAGAGGACAGCCGTGGTGGTGGACGTGGCAATTCCAAGCGATGGTAACATCCGGAAAAAAGAACATGAAAAGCTTGAGAAATACCAAGGTCTCAGAGAGGAGCTGGAGAGGGCCTGGAGGGTAAAGGTGACAGTAGTGCCCGTGGTGATCGGTGCACTCGGGGCAGTGACCCCGAAGCTAGATGAGTGGTTACAGCGGATCCCCGGAACAACCTCGGACATCTCGGTCCAGAAATGTGCAGTGCTAGGAACAGCAAAGATACTGCGCAGAACCCTCAAGCTCCCAGGCCTCTGGTAGAGGACCCGAGCTTAGAGAGGGATAACCGCCCGCGGAGGGCCAAAGGTGAGTGGACAATTTTTTTTTATATATATATATATATATATATATATATATAAAAATAAAAAAATCGGGTCCTCTACCAGAGGCCTGGGAGCTTGAGGGTTCTGCGCAGTATCTTTGCTGTTCCTATACTGCACATTTCTGGACCGAGATGTCCGAGGTTGTTCCAGGGATCCGCTGTAACCACTCCTCCAGCTTCAGGGTCACTGCCCTGAGTGCACCGATCACCACGGGCACTACTGTCTCCTTCACCCTCCAGGCCCTCTCCAGCTCCCTTGGTTTTTCTCAAGCTTTTCATGTTCTTTTTTCCGGATGTTACCATCGCTTGGAATTGCCACGTCCACCACCACGGCTGTCCTCTGCCCTTTGTCCACCACCACAATGTCAGGTTGGTTCGCCATTACCATTCGGTCGGTCTGTATCTGGAAGTCCCACAGGATCTTTGCACGCTCATTCTCCACCACCTTTGGAGGAGTTTCCCACTTAGACCTTGGGGTTTCCAGCCCATACTCTGCACAGATGTTTCTGTACACTATGCCAGGTTATGGCGTTCCATGTAGGCCTTCCCTGCCAGCATCTTGCACCCTGCAGTTATGTGTTGGATCGTCTCAGGTGCCTCTTTGCACAACCGACACCTTGGGTCTTGTCTGGTGTGGTATATCTGGGCCTCTATCGCTCTGGTGCCCAGTGCCTGTTCCTGTGCAGCCATGATGAGTGCCTCTGTGCTGTCCTGTAGGCCAGCCCTTTCTAGCCATTGGTAGGACTTCTTGAGATCAGCCACTTCTGTTATGCTCCGGTGGTACATGCCGTGTAGAGGCTTGTTCTCCCATGAGGGGCTCTCCTCCAGCACCTCCTCATCTCGCCACTGCCTGAGACATTCACTGAGTACGTCATCCGTTTTGGCCTTCTCCATGATGTAGTTATGGAGTTTGGATGACACACTCACTAGTCCTCGGCCTCCTTCTTTACGGCTTACGTACAGTCTCTGGGTGCTGGATTTGGGATGGAACCCGCCATGCATGGTAAGGAGTTTTCGAGTTTTAACATCCGTGGTCTGAATCTCTTCCTTTGGCCACCTGATTATTCCTGCAGGGTATCTGATCACTGGCAGGGCGTAGCTGTGCCCGGGCCTTGTTCTTGCCATTGAGCCGGCTTCTTAGGACCTGCCTTACTCGCTGGAGGTATTTGGCAGTTGCCGCTTTCCTCGTCACCTGTTCGAGGTTGCCATTTGCCTGTGGTATACCAAGATACTTGTAACTGTCCTCAACGTCTGCTATTGTTCCCTCTGAGAGTGAGATCCCTTCTGTGTGGACTACCTTGCCTCTCCGAGTCACCATCCTGCTACATTTCTCGAGTCCGAATGACATCCCGATCTCATGGCTGTAGATCCTGGTTGTTTGGATCAGAGAGTCGATGTCTCTCTCGCTCTTGGCGTACAGCTTGATGTCATCCATGTAGAGGAGGTGACTGATCTTTGCTCCTGGTAGATACCACATTTGATGGTCACTTGTGCGAGCGGCTTGCCATTTGCCTCAAGGGTGGTCTTCCACATTCCCATCGAGTTTGCAACGAAGTCCCTTAGAGCCCTGTTGATATTGTACAACTTCAAGCATTCCATGATCCATGTGTGTGGCATTGAGTCGTAGGCTTTCTGGTAATCAATCCAGGCTGTGCACAGGTTGGTGTGTCGTGACCGGCAGTCTTGGGCGACTGTTCTGTCAACCAGGAGCTGGTGTTTGGCTCCTCTGGTGTCCCTACCAATGCCCTTCTGTGCTGTGCTCATGAATTGTTCCATATGCCCACTTATCTTAGCCGCAATGATGCCTGACATGAGCTTCCATGTTGTGGAGAGACAGGTTATTGGCCGGTAGTTGGAGGGGACTGCACCCTTGACAGCAGTATATTTATATATATATACACCCTTTATCCTTCACTGAGTGACCAATAAGGAGAGTGATGGTGCTGGGCCACATGACCTCCACAGTCACCGGACCTGAACCCAGTCCAGATGGTTTTGGGGCTGGACCACAGAGTGAAGGGGCCAAAAGGGCTAAGCATCATGGGAACTCGACTGTTGAAACCATTTCAGGTCCTCTTGAAGCTCATCCAGAGAATGCCAAGAGTGAAGCAGTAATCAGAGCAAAAGGTGCTACTTTGAAGAACCAGAATATAACATATTTTCACTTGGTTCATACTTTTTGAAGGTGTGTCCAAACTTTTCTTTTGGTCTGTACTAAGAAAAGTTTATTTATTTGTATATTTATTTGTATATACACTACCGTTCAAAAGTTTGGGGTCACCCAAACAATTTTGTGTTTTCCATGAAAAGTCACACTTATTCACCACCATACGTTGTGAAATGAATAGAAAATAGAGTCAAGACATTGACAAGGTTAGAAATAATATTTGAAATAAGATTTTTTTTACATCAAACTTTGCTTTCGTCAAATCCTCCATTTGCAGCAATTACAGCATTGCAGACCTTTGGAATTCTATCTGTTAATTTGTTGAGGTATTCTGGAGAAATTGCACCCCATGCTGCAGCTCCCACAAGTTGGATTGGTTGGATGGGCACTTCTTGCGTACCATACGGTCAAGCTGCTCCCACAACAGCTCAATGGGGTTCAGATCTGGTGACTGCGCTGGCTACTCCATTACCGATAGAATACCAGCTGCCTGCTTCTTCTCTAAACAGTTCTTGCACAATTTGGAGGTGTGTTTTGGGTCATTGTCCTGTTGTAGGATGAAATTGGCTCCAATCAAGCGCTGTCCACTGGGTATGGCATGACGTTGCAAAATGGAGTGATAGCCTTCCTTATTCAGAATCCCTTTTACCCTGTACAAATCTCCCACCTTACCAGCACCAAAGCAACCCCAGACCACCACATTACCTCCACCATGCTTAACAGATGGCGTCCGGCATTCTTCCAGCATCTTTTCAGTTGTTCTGTGTCTCACAAAACGTTCTTTGTGATCCAAACACCTCAAACTTGGATTCATCCATCCACAGCACTTTTTTCCAGTCTTCCTCTGTCCAATGTCTGTTCTTCCGCAGCCGCCTCTTCACTGTAGATGTTGACACTGGTGTTTTGCGGGTACTATTTAATGAAGATGCCAGTTGGGGACCTGTGAGGCGTCTGTTTCTCAAACTAGAGACTCTAATGTACTTATCTTCTTGCTCAGTTGTGCAGCGTGGCCTCCCACTTCTTTTTCTACTCTGGTTAGAGCCTGTTTGTGCTGTCCTCTGAAGGGAGTAGTACACACCGTTGTAGGAAATCTTCAATTTCTTAGCAATTTCTCGCATGGAATAGCCTTCATTTCTAAGAACAAGAATAGACTGTCGAGTTTCAGATGAAAGTTCACTTTTTCTGGCCATTTTGAGCGTTTAATTGACCCCACAAATGTGATGCTCCAGAAGCTCAATCTGCTCAAAGGAAGGTCAGTTTTGTAGCTTCTGTGACAAGCTAAACTGTTTTCAGATGTGTGAACATGATTGCACAAGGGTTTTCTAATCATCAATTAGCCTTCTGAGCCAATGAGCAAACACATTGTACCATTAAAACACTGGAGTGATAGTTGCTGGAAATGGGCCTCTGTACACCTACAGTACATATTGCACCAAAAACGGGACATTTGCAGCTAGAATAGTTATTTAAAACATTAGTAATGTATAGAGTGTATTTCTTTAAAGTCAAGACTAGTTTAAAGTTATCTTCATTGAAAAGTACAGTGCTTTTCCTTCAAAAATAAGGACATTTTATGTGACCCCAAACTTTTGAACGGTAGTGTATGTAGAAATATGTATATATACATGTATGTGTGCATATATCTGTGTGACGTGTGTCACCACATGTCACACGTTACACGTCACACACAACACATATCACAGTGTTGTGTGCATGATATGTGCTGTGTGGCGTGTGTGACATAATTGACGTGTGACTGTTGTTTGTGACTTGTAACGTGTGACATGTGTCTTGTGCAAGATGTGTGGTGTGCGAAATGTGTGGACTCTGACCATGTGACTATGACCATGTGACTCTGACCATGTGACCCTGGCCATGTGAGTCTGACCATGTGAGTCTGACCATGTGACTCTGACCATGTGGCCCTGACCATGTGACCCTGACCATGTGGCCCCGACCGTGTGACTCTGACCATGTGACCCTGACCATGCGACTGACCATGTGACCCTGACCATGTGGCCCTGCCCATGTGGCCCTGCCCATGTGACCTTGACCATGTGACTGACCATGTGACTCTGACCATATGGCCCTGACCATGTGGGACACAGATGGATCCTTATCATATGCATGTTTACATTCTAATGTGTCTATTCATTGACCTTTCCATTCCATTCTCTTCCACTTATTCCATTGCTGGGTGGCGGGGGCAGCAGTCTAAGCAGAGATCCCCAGACTTCCCTCTCACACACTTCCTCCCTGTTCAGCAACCTGCACTGTTCCATTCAAATAAATACATAAAAATAAATGTCACATCACATCTGGACCAGGTTAACTTCAGATACACCCCTATGTCTCACTGCTACCACCATAACCCCATATGCTATACATATATGTATATATACATATACATAATATACATACATATATACATATATATATATATATATATACATATATATACATATACATACATATACACATATATATATACACATATATACATATATATATATATACATATATGTAAATATATATATATATATATATATATATATATATATACACATATACATATATATACATATATGTATATATATATATATACACATATTATATATATATATATACCAAATGTATATATATATATATATATATACAAATGTATATATATATATATACAAATGTATATATATATATATATATATATATATATATATATAAATGTATATATATATATATATATATATATATATATATATATATACAAATGTATATATATATATATATATATATATATATATATATATATACATACAAATGTTTAAAATTTTATATCTTTATGTTTGAAGCCTGAAATGTGGCGAAATGTTGAAAGGTTCAAGGGGGCCGAATACTTTCGCAAGGCATTGTATATATATATATATATGTATATATATATATATATATATATATAGGGCAGAGGACAGCCGTGGTGGTGGCTCAGAGAGGAGCGGGAGAGGGCCTGGAGGGTAAAGGAGACAGTAGTGCCCGTGGTGATCGGTGCACTCAGGGCAGTGACCCTGAAGCTGGAGGAGTGGTTACAGCGGATCCCTGGAACAACCTCGGACATCTCGGTCCAGAAATGTGCAGTGCTAGGAACAGCAAAGATACTGCGCAGAACCCTCAAGCTCCCAGGCCTCTGGTAGAGGACCAGAGCTTAGAGAGGGATAACCGCCCACGGAGGGCCAAAGGTGAGAATTTTTAATATTATATATATATATATATATATATATATATATATATATATATATATATGTGACTCTATGATGGCCGCTGAGTTGTGAGTTTAATGAAACAAATGACTTCTGAGCGTCATTTATGCAGATTATAAAAATACATTCAACAGGTTCATGGCACCAAGGTCAGCAAAGTCACCACCATCACCCCCTTCCTTATTCTTTCTTGACCTTCCTGGTTAGATTCCTGAAGCTAAGCAGGGCAAGGCCTGGTTAGTGCTGTGATGGGAGACCTCTGGGAACACCAGGTGCCACCGTGGAGCGCCTTGTTGTGATAAATTTAAAACATTACTTTTTACACATCATCGTGTTTTTAAGATGAAGACATGTTGTGAGACAGGTGTGAGGCAGGTGTGAGACAGATGTGAGACAGATGTGATACAGGTGTGAGACAGGTGTGAGACAGATATGAGACAGAAGTGAGAAAGAGGTGAGACAGGTGTGAGACAGATGCGAGACAGATGCAAGATAGGTGTGAGACAGATGTGAGACAGATGCGAGACAGATGCAAGATAGGTGTGAGACAGATGTGAGACAGATGCGAGACAGGTGTGAGACAGGTGTGAGACAGATGTGAGACAGATGTGAGACAGGTAAAGATTAAAAAATGAATGAACTTCGGGTTTGTTTTAATAATTTCTTCAAAGTAAATGTTTAAATGAAAAGAAGCAGAGAGTTCAGTTTAATCCCTTTCTCTGATTTGAAGTTTTGAAACCTGGAGCTGTGTTTAGCTGCGTACACGCTGGAGCTGTGTTTAGCTGCGTACACGCTGGAGCTGTGTTTAGCTGCGTACACGCTGGAGCCATGTTTAGCTGCGTACACGCTGGAGCCATGTTTAGCTGCGTACACGCTGGAGCCATGTTTAGCTGCGTACACGCTGGAGCCATGTTTAGCTGCGTACACGCTGGAGCCATGTTTAGCTGCGTACACGCTGGAGCCGTGTTTAGCTGCGTACACGCAGGAGCCGTGTTTAGCTGCGTACACGCCAACAGTGGATGAGTCTCTCTCCTTCAGGCACTGTCTCCTCTGATTACTACAAAATCACTAAAATCATAAAAATAAAACTATTTCTTCATAAATACAATAGAATTATATATATTTACATCTGCTCTGATCTCAGGACGACACCCTGTGTTCACATCGTTACAGGGAGTCAAAAGTGTCCAAACAGAAGACAAGGATTTGGATCTTCATCCTGCAGATGTGAGGCAGCTCCAGATGTTAGAGAGGCTGTGTTCAGACTCAGACCTGGTCCATACCAGGTTCAGACTCGGCTCAGACCAGGTTAAGTCCTTCATGCTCCTCAGTCCTCATGGACCCCAGCTGGACCACATCTGGATCACAGCTGGACCACATCTGGACTACATCTGGACCACATCTAGACCACAGATCCATGACTCCCTCTGGTTCGACGTCCAAAAGTTTGTGTCCAGAGAACTCCTAGATCTGTGAGTCCCACAGAGACATTAAAGACTGAGACAAACTGAGCAACATTGTACTGAATGTTTTACTCTCACTCATTTACAGTCTGCTGACCCTAAGGCCCCGACTCCACCGGGCGCGTAAAACGGATGACGGATCCGTCCAAACATGTCCATTTCATCTCTGTCTTCGTTATCTCCATTGAGGGTGAATGGAAGTGGCTCCACTGCCTCCAACATGTGTCCGTCCGACGTGCATTCCGCCAACGGAGGGTGCAACGGACGCGGACGGACGAAAGAGAAACAATCCTATTTGTTCCGTCTGTCGACGCGTGTCGGGTCCGTTTTCCATTGAAAATACAATGGAATAATATATTTACCTCATTATTAAACATGTATTGATATAAGCTGTAGTCCTTGCTTATAAGTATTTGTTAATGACAATGATTATTAACAAACAAGTGTAATTTTTTTCATATTATTATTAAATTGAAATAATTGTTTCCTGATCGTAAATCTACCATTTATTTTTTCGCGTAATGTTAATATGCTAATCTTTACATACACCTCGCTCCTTTTTCTCTGGCTCTGTCCCCTCTACCTCCGAGGCGCTCCCACACACACACACACACACACACGTACATGCACACACACACACACACGCACACACACATTGCCCACAGAGCTGCACTTATGAGAGACAGATCTCACAACATATATATGATGGAGTTCTTTTCTCTCTCCCCTTTTTCCATTTACTTACGTTTTGCCTCATCCATCGCAACGTCCTCGATGCTTCAATATGCCGTGCTTTGCATAGATCAAAGCCCCAGCTCATGCAAATCACACATCGCTTCTTCTATTTAAAACAATTCCTCACGGGTGCTGATAAACGCACAGCCAGAGCTGCGCGCTGCTGCAGCCGGTTTGGCCACTATTCCGTTTTACGGACGTCTGACGGGCAGCGGCCAACGCGCGTCAACGGAGAAGCGCCCGGTGGAGTCCTGGCCTAACCCTGTCATCCTGACCCTAACCCTGTCATCCTGACCCTAACCCTGTCATCCTGACCCTAACCCTGTTGTCACAGAACAGAATCAGATCAAAGTGAATATTGATACTTTAATAACTGTCTGAGGATGAACAGAGTCCTTCATGTGTCACTGTCGGCGTTTGGAATGTTGTGATGTCACATGAATGTTGTGATGTCACATCAATGGGACCTATTGCCTTTGAAGTTCGGTTTTCTTCCAAAGTGTTTCCTGTGCAGCTGCTTTGAAACAAAAGGCTCCAACGATGATTTAAATAAAGATGAAAATCTTAACTGAGCCACGGCACATGCTGCAGGTCCAGACGTGGACACGGGTCCAGACGTGGACACGGGTCTAGATGGGGACACGGGTCCAGATGTGGTCTCGGGTCCAGACGTGGACACGGGTCTAGATGGGGACACGGGTCTAGATGGGGACACGGGTCCAGATGTGGTCTCGGGTCCAGACGTGGACACGGGTCTAGATGGGGACACGGGTCCAGACGTGGACACGGGTCCGGACGTGGACACGGGTCTAGATGGGGACACGGGTCCAGATGTGGTCTCGGGTCCAGACGTGGACACGAGTTCAGACAGGTCTAGACATGGACACGGGTCCAGATGTGGTCCCAGGTCCAGACGTGGACACGGGTCTAGACGGGGACACGGGTGCAGATGTGGTCCCAGGTCCAGACGTGGACACGGGTCCAGACATGGACATGAGTCCAGACAGGTCTAGACGTGGACACAGGTCCAGACGTGGACATGGGTCCAGACGTGGACATGGGTCCAGACGTGGACATGAGTCCAGACAGGTCTAGACGTGGACATGGGTCCAGACGTGGTCCCGGGTCCAGACGTGGAGGCACTTGGAAGATCTTTGGCAGAAGCAGAGTTGACCTCAGAGTCCTGGACCCTCGCTCCATCGGAAGGCAGCGTATCACAGGTACGTCCTGATGTAGTCCCGGCTCTTCTTAACCCTCTGACAGCGCCACCTGCAGGGAGCAGAGGGCATATGCGAGTCAGTCAGTGTGAGTCAGTGAGTCGGAGTGAGTTGGAGTGAGTTGGAGTGAGTCGGAGTGAGTCAGAGTCAGTGTGAGTCAGAGTGAGTGTGAGACCATATGAGTCAGAGTAAGTCCGAGTGAGTCAGAGTCAGTGTGAGTCGGAGTGAGTCAGAGTGAGTCAATGTGAGTCAGAGTCAGTGTGAGTCGGAGTGAGTCAGAGTGTGTCAATGTGAGTCAGAGTCAGTGTGAGTCGGGGTGAGTCGGAGTGAGTCAGTGTGAGTCAATGTGAGTCAATGTGAGTCAGAGTGAGTAAGAGTGAGTCGGAGTGAGTCAATGTGAGTCAGAGTGAGTAAGAGTGAGTCAGAGTGAGTCAATGTGAGTCAGAGTCAGTGTGAGTCGGAGTGAGTCAGTGTGAATCAATGTGAGTCAATGTGAGTCAGAGTGAGTCAGAGTGAGTCAGAGTAAGTCAGAGTGTGTCAATGTGAGTCAGAGTGAGTAAGAGTGAGTCAGAGTGAGTCAGAGTGAGTCAGAGTGAGTCAATGTGAGTCAATGTGAGTCAGAGTGTGTCAATGTGAGTCAATGTGAGTCAGAGTCAGTGTGAGTCAGAGTGAGTCAATGTGAGTCGGAGTGAGTCAGTGTGAGTCAGAGTGTGTCAATGTGAGTCAGAGTAAGTCAGAGTCAGTGTGAGTCAGTGTGAGTCGAAGTGAGTCAGAGTCAGTCAGTGTGAGTCAGAGTTAGTCAGTGTGAGTCAGAGTGTGTCAATGTGAGTCAGTCAGTGTGAGTCAGTGTGAGTCAGAGTGAGTCGAAGTGAGTCAGAGTGAGTCAGTGTGAGTCAGAGTTAGTCAGAGTCAGTGTGAGTCAGAGTCCGTAAGTCGGAGTGAGTCCGTGTGAGTCAGAGTGAGTCAGTGTGAGTCAGAGTGAGTCAGAGTGAGTCAGAGTTAGTCAGTGTGAGTCAGAATGAGTCAGACTGAGTCAGACTGAGTCAGAGTAAGTCAGAGTCAGTGTGAGTCAGTGTGAGTCGAAGTGAGTCAGAGTCAGTAAGTGTGAGTCAGAGTTAGTCAGTGTGAGTCAGAGTGTGTCAATGTGAGTCAGAGTGAGTCAGTGTGAGTCAGAGTGAGTCGAAGTGAGTCAGAGTGCGTCAGAGTGAGTCAGAGTGAGTCAGAGTTAGTCAGAGTCAGTGTGAGTCAGAGTCCGTAAGTCGGAGTGAGTCAGTGTGAGTCAGAGTTAGTCAGAGTCAGTGTGAGTCAGAGTCCGTAAGTCGGAGTGAGTCCGTGTGAGTCATAGTGAGTCAGAGTCAGTCAGTGTGAGTCAGAGTGTGTCAATGTGAGTCAGAGTCAGTGTGAGTCAGTGTGAGTCAATGTGAGTCAATGTGAGTCAGAGTGAGTAAGAGTGAGTAGGAGTGAGTCAGAGTGAGTCAGAGTGAGTAAGAGTGAGTCAGAGTGAGTCAGAGTGAGTCAGAGTGTGTCAATGTGAGTCAATGTGAGTCAGAGTGAGTCTGAGCGAGTCAGAGTGAGTCGGAGTGAGTCGGAGTGAGTCAGAGTGAGTCAGAGTGAGTAAGAGTGAGTAAGAGTGAGTCAGAGTGTGTCAATGTGAGTCAATGTGAGTCAGAGTGAGTAAGAGTGAGTCAGAGTGAGTCAGAGTGTGTCAATGTGAGTCAATGTGAGTCAGAGTGAGTCGGAGCGAGTCAGAGTGAGTCGGAGTGAGTCGGAGTGAGTCAGTGTGAGTTAGAGTGAGTCAGAGTGAGTAAGAGTGAGTAGGAGTGAGTCAGAGTGTGTAAGAGTGAGTCAGAGTGAGTCAGAGTGAGTCAGAGTGTGTCAATGTGAGTCAATGTGAGTAAGAGTGAGTAAGAGTGAGTCAGAGTGAGTCAGAGTGAGTCGGAGCGAGTCAGAGTGAGTCGGAGTGAGTCGGAGTGAGTCAGTGTGAGTCAGAGTAAGTCAGTGTGAGTCAGAGTGAGTCAGTGTGAGTGTGAGTCAGAGTCAGTAAGTCGGAGTGAGTCATAGTGAGTCAGTGTGAGTCATAGTGAGTCAGTGTGAGTCAGAGTGTGTCAATGTGAGTCAATGTGAGTCAGAGTGAGTCAGAGTGAGTCAGTGTGAGTCAGAGTGAGTCAGTGTGAGTCAGAGTGAGTCAGAGTGAGTCAGAGTGAGTCAGAGTGAGTCAGTGTGAGTCAGTGTGAGTCAGAGTGAGTCAGAGTGAGTCAGTGTGAGTCAGAGTGAGTCAGTGTGAGTCAGAGTGAGTCAGAGTGAGTCAGAGTTAGTCAGTGTGAGTCAGTGTGAGTCAGTGTGAGTCAGTGTGAGTCAGAGTGAGTCAGTGTGAGTCAGAGTGAGTCAGAGTGTGTCAATGTGAGTCAGAGTCAGTGTGAGTCAGAGTGAGTCGGAGTGAGTCGGAGTGAGTCGGAGTGAGTCAGTGTGAGTCAGAGTCAGTGTGAGTCAGAGTGAGTCAATGTGAGTCAATGTGAGTCAATGTGAGTCAGAGTGAGTCGGAGTGAGTCAGTGTGAGTCAGAGTCAGTGTGAGTCAGAGTGAGTCAATGTGAGTCGGAGTGAGTCAGAGTCAGTGTGAGTCAGAGTGAGTCGAAGTAAGTCAGAGTCAGTCAGTGTGAGTCAGTGTGAGTCAGTGTGAGTCAGAGTGAGTCAGAGTGAGTCAGTGTGAGTCAGAGTGATTCAGTGTGAGTCAGAGTGAGTCAGTGTGAGTCAGAGTGATTCAGTGTGAGTCAGAGTGAGTCAGTGTGTGTCAGAGTGATTCAGTGTGAGTCAGAGTGAGTCAGAGTCAGTGTGAGTGTGAGTCAGTACAGGCCTGGCGTCCACCTGCTGCTTTGTACTAACACTGTTTAGTGTGAGAGTCATAGTCAGGAGTTTTAAGACAAACTTTTTAGAGAAATAATCTTAGATTGTATTTGAAAGAGAAGGATCCATAGTTTGGAGGAATGATGGAAGGATGGAAAAATTAGGACCATACACCATGGTGCCAGTTAGACACCTGTATACACCATAATGACAGTTAGACACCTGTATACACCATGGTGACAGACACCTGTATACACCATAATGACAGTTAGACACCTGTATACACGATGGAGACACCTGTATACACCATGGAGACACATGAACACATCATGGTGATACCTGTACACACCATAGTGACAGTTAGACACCTGTATACACCATGGTGACAGTTAAGACACCTGTATACACCATGGAGACACCTGTATAAACCATGGAGACACATGAACACACCATGGTGATACCTGTATACACCATAATGACAGTTAGACACCTGTATACACCATGGTGACAGTTAAACACCTGTATACACCATAAGGACAGTTAGACACCTGTATACACCATGGAGACGCATAAACACACCATGGTGATACCTGTACACACCATAGTGACAGTTAGACACCTGTATACACCATGGTGACAGTTAAGACACCTGTATACACCATGGAGACACCTGTATACACCATGGAGACATTTATATACGCTGAGTACATATGAGCTGTAGCATTAAGTAAAATCATCTTTTTTGACAGTGGAAAGAGAAAAAGCAAGAAGCAGTAGTTTATGTAGTACTTTATGTAGTACTTTATGCAGTACTTTATGCAGTACTTTATGCAGTACTTTATGCAGTACTTTATGCAGTACTTTATGCAGTACTTTATGCAGTAGTTTATGGGATGTGGGGGGCTCTGGGGCCATGGCCTGAGGTTGATGGTGTGAAGCTCGTGTTTGAGACGTCTGTTCCAATCGTGAGGAAGAAGGATTTGTAAACAACCACCTGTGAACAGCAGAATGAAGCAGAGACAGATCCAGGAAGTAGCCTCAGGAAAGCCCACTGATTGGTCCCAGGAGAGAGAGTGTGTGTGTGTGTGTGTGTCTGTACCGGTTGGTGTCGGGGCCTGCTGCCTCTACCTTCTCTCCGCTAAAGTCGTTGGCGGGGCTCGGGCGCAGCTTCCCAGGCCGGCCCTTGATGACGGCGTAGCAGAACATGGTGATGACCATCACAAACAGGAAGTAGCTCGTGTGCATCAGGTGCAGGTTGATGAGGGAGCGGTCATCCTGAGGGAGGACAGACTCTTGGAACAACACTAACAGCACAACACTATATCCATCCATCCATCCATCCATATTTACACTATACACACACAGTACAACACTATATCCATTCATACACTATATACATACAGTACAACACTATATCCATTCATACACTATATACATACAGTACAACACTATATCCATTCATACACTATATACATACAGTACAACACTATATCCATTTATACACTATATACATACAGTACAGCACTATATCCATATATACACATACAGTACAACACTATATCCATATATACACTATACACATACAGTACAACACTATATCCATATATACACATGCAGTACAGAGCAAAAGTGTGGACACCCTCTCTCCTTCACAGAGTTCTTTTCATGACTATTGGCTGTAGATCCACACCAGGCTGTGTAAGGGCTGTTTGACCAATAAGGAGAGTGATGGTGCTGGGCCACATGACCTGCACAGTCACCTGAGCTGAACCCAGTCCAGATGGTTTTGGGGCTGGACCACAGAGTGAAGGGGTCAACAAGTGCTAAGCATCATGGAAGCTCCTTCAAGACTGTTGAAGACCATTTCTGGTCACTACCTCATGATTATATTCATAATCATGAAAATAAAGAAAACTCTTTCAATGAGAGGGCGTGTGCAAACTTTTGGTCTGTACTGTTTTCTACATACAAATCCACCCCAGCTGGCCCCTGATGTGGAAGTGTGGCCCCTGATGTGGAAGTGTGGCCCCTGATGTGGAAGTGTGGCCCCTGAAGTGGAAGTGTGGCCCCTGATGTGGAAGTGTGGCCCCTGATGTGGCAGTGTGGCCCCTGAAATGTGGCCCCTGATGTGGAAGCGTGGCCTCTGATGTATGGCCCCTGATGTGTGACTCACGTCCGGCACGATGACCGTGAGCTTGGGGTTGAGGGCGTGGTAGACCTTGCCGATGGCGCCCTTGTAGCACCAGAAGGGGTTGTAGTCCTGGCTGTACTTAGTGTCCGAGTCCCGCACCGTGGCAAACACCTTGTACCAGGACGTGGCGTTGGTGTAGGTCTCCGGGACGCAGTGGGGGGGCTGTCTGAAAACACCAGATAGAAGTGCTGTCATGGCAACCGCAACCATGTGCAGAACACTTCAACAGGACCATGAAGAGGATTGTTTAAAGTTAGCACCAGGGACAGTTCCCAAATGGATCTGGAACTAATGCAGGAGTTCCTCTGTATCAGGGGCAGAGACCATGGACTTTGGTCTCTGCTCCTTATGGACCAATGTCTCTGTATGTTTTTATCATAGCATTCCCTTTGTTTGTGTTTGATTCTCTGATCTGTGTTGGAGAATCGACAGCTTTGTAAAGGTCTCAGTGATAACTACTGTTTGTGCCTCTGAGTAGGAGCTCCTGGTAACCAATAGTAGTGATGAATGCTATACATCACTGCTAGCTACTGTTAGCAGTGATGTTAGTGTAAGCAGTGATGCTAGAGTTAGCAGTAATGCTAGAGTTAGCAGTAATGCTAGTGTTTGCAGTAATGCTAGTGTTAGCAGTAATGCTAGTGTTAGCAGGAATGCTAGTGTTAGCAGTAATGCTAGTGTTTGCAGTAATGCTAGTGTTAGCAGTAATGCTAGTGTTAGCAGTAATGCTAGTGTTAGTCGTGATGCTAGTGTTAGTGGTTAGCTATAGCTATAGCGGTGATGCTATACTCACACAGTGAGGGGGAAGATGTTGATGTTAGCGGTGATGCTATTGTTAGCGGTGATGCTAGTGTTAGCAGTAATGCTAGTGTTTGCAGTAATGCTAGTGTTAGCAGTAATGCTAGTGTTAGCAGTAATGCTAGTGTTAGCAGTAATGCTAGTGTTTGCAGTAATGCTAGTGTTTGCAGTAATGCTAGTGTTAGCAGTAATGCTAGTGTTAGCAGTAATGCTAGTGTTAGTCGTGATGCTAGTGTTAGCAGTAATGCTAGTGTTAGTCGTGATGCTAGTGTTAGTGGTTAGCTATAGCTATAGCGGTGATGCTATACTCACACAGTGAGGGGGAAGATGTTGATGTTAGCGGTGATGCTATTGTTAGCGGTGATGCTATTGTTAGCGGTGATGCTAGTGTTAGCAGTGATGCTAGTGTTAGCGGTGATGCTTGTGTTAGCGGTGATGCTTGTGTTAGCGGTGATGCTTGTGTTAGCGGTGATGCTTGTGTTAGCGGTGATGCTTGTGTTAGCGGTGATGCTTGTGTTAGCGGTGATGCTTGTGTTAGCGGTGATGCTATACTCACACAGTGACGGGGAAGATGTTGGTGTTAGCAGTGATGCTAGTGTTAGCAGTGATGCTAGTGTTAGCGGTGATGCTTGTGTTAGCGGTGATGCTATACTCACACAGTGACGGGGAAGATGTTGGTGTTAGCGGTGAGGGTCATGCAGCTGCTGAACACCACCTGCTCACAGTGACCGTGCAGGACACAGTCGTCAGAACTCCAGGAAACGGGCAGCGAGAACGTCACGTTTACCTCCTCATGGGCGTCACGGCCTGGACACCCACACACACAGTCAGAGACTACACACATAATCACACTCTCTGAGACTACAAACACACACACATTGAGACTACACAAAGACTGTGTGTACTGACCAGAGAGGCCCACCTGGTGGCCCAGCACAGTGGCATACAGGTGGGTGATGTTGCGTGAGTATCCTCCAAAGGGCCTCTGAGGGTCCAGGGTGAGGGTGATGGCCACAGAGATGTTGATGGGCCCCTGGTCGTCCAGCAGCAGAGGGGCCTGAGGGGCCTGAGGGGCTAGAGAGCTGGTCACCACCGGGCTATCAGCCGTGGTCGACTCGTTGCCACCGTGTTTCAGCGTCTCGTTCTCCGACACACACAGGTCCACCTCGTTGAACCGCAGGAGAAACGTGTTCCAGTCCTGACACACAGACACACACAGGTCAGACACACACAGACACACACAGGTCAGACACACACTCGCGTCTTTACACTTAAATACTATGGTTTCATAGACAGTATCCCTGGCTCTATACCCTAACCCCATACCCTACCCCTATACCCAAACCCTCTATGCCAGTGTTTTTCAACCTTTTTTGAGCCAAGGCACACTTTTTTCACTGAAAAAATCTTGCGGCACACCTCCAGGAGAAAATGTAAAAATGTATACAGTACTAATGTAAAAAAATATATACTGTACATACTCTGTGTGATATATAAAGTATATCTTATCTTATAATGTATACAGTATACTCTGTAGCCTATATTCACAATATACAGTTATTCTCATCAAAATGCTTAAGTCCAGGCCTTGACATTAAGCTTTATTTAATATTTCTCGATACAATTAACAAGAGTTTGGGAATAAAGTGGCACTAACTGTGTGGAAAAAAACTAAGAAAATCCACTCTCTGCCCAAATAGTCAAATAATAACTCACACAAAGAACATGCATTGTTAGTGCATGGGAAAAATTTAGGTATCCGAGCTTTAAATTCAGGAGTTTTGGATGAGGGACACGGGAGGTCCTGAACGCGAGTCCATGGTTCTGTCCGGTCCGCATGTCTGTGGTTCTGTCCACTCGACTATGGTCTGCGCTCGGTACCCAGTTCAGAAGTGCGTTTGCGAGAGCTGTTGTACAAAAATTGTACATTTCATAGTTAAACCACTACAACGCGGCCACAGCTGCCCCGGGGCAGAGCGGAGGATGTTAATCCTGTTCAGAAACGGCATAATTCATTTTCAAAAACGTCTCTATCACTTTCACTTCTCACTCGCCACAAAGCTCTTGTCTCGCTCCCTCCCACATTTGTTGGTCGCATCCAATTTTACCTTTCTCGCCACAATGCTGACCTGTAGCCAGTGGTCGCATCCAATTTTTCAGTTTCAAAGTACTTAGCTATCTGCTGCCATCTACTGATTTGAAAAAGTATTACATGGTTACTCCACAGTTCAAAACAAGTCACCGCTCCTCAACAGCGAATGCAGTTATTTTTAGACAAAGTAGACGAATTTCTCACGGCACACCAGACAATATCATACGGCACACTAGTGTGCCGCGGCACAGTGGTTGAAAAACACTGCTCTATGCTCCTTATCTTCAAGACACGCCAGACGTCTGGTGGTTCCTAAGGTTTCAAAAAGCACTGTCGGCGGCAGCTCCAAGCTCCAAGCTCCTTTAGTGAGAGGACAAATGCCCAAAAATAACAATTGAAAACCGCTTTGTGACTCTGGTCTGTGAAATAAAGATTACTTACTTACTTACTTATAGCAGAGTATTTTCATCGATTGTCAGGTTTGCAACTAGTTATAGCATTTAGGTAGATTTTTATTAGCATAGCTCTTTGTATTATAGATAATTGTGTAGTGTTAATAGTGTGTTGTTGAATATTCGAGTTTTTGTCACTAGTTTAGGACTTTTGTTAGTTTTACTAGTGTTCTATATTGTGTGCAATTTCATTGTATATTGTTTATTGTACTTTTGTACAATAAATACTACTTTATGTTTGAGCGTGCGTTAAATTTTTGTCTCTTTTGTGCGCATTGGGGTATCATTTCTATCCAAAATGCCTTTGGGGTTTTCCAGCACAAGTTTTCCCTGGGGCACAAGGAGGTTATTGTGGCAGAGTTTAGAATGTTATAACTATATGACCCCACAATATATAGTTTCTTGGACACAGAGCTGGTGTCTGTGTTCACCCTCCATCTTTGACACGGCCAATGCTGATGTCAAGTGTCAATCACAGTTTAGAGCCGCCCAACATTCACCTCTCCACCTGTCCCCTTTAATCAGGCTACGCCCATTTGGAGGAAGATTTGAAAAGGAAATGTGAGTGACGTTTGAGTGTGTTTAAAGAAGCAGAGTGTGTTTAAAGAAGCAGAGTGTGTTTAAAGAAGCAGAGTGTGTTTAAAGAAGCAGAGTGTGTTTAAAGAAGCAGAGTGTGTTTAAAGAAGCAGAGTGTGTTTAAAGAAGCAGAGTGTGTTTAAAGGAGCAGAGTGTGTTTAAAGAAGCAGAGTGTGTTTAAAGAAGCAGAGTGTGTTTAAAGGAGCAGAGTGTGTTTAAAGGAGCAGAGTCTGTTTAAAGGAGCAGAGTGTGTTTAAAGAAGCAGAGTGTGTTTAAAGAAGCAGAGTGTGTTTAAAGGAGCAGAGTGTGTTTAAAGGAGCAGAGTCTGTTTAAAGGAGCAGAGTGTGTTTAAAGAAGCAGAGTGTGTTTAAAGAAGCAGAGTGTGTTTAAAGGAGCAGAGTGTGTTTAAAGAAGCAGAGTGTGTTTAAAGAAGCAGAGTGTGTTTAAAGGAGCAGAGTGTGTTTAAAGAAGCAGAGTGTGTTTAAAGGAGCAGAGTGTGTTTAAAGAAGCAGAGTGTGTTTAAAGGAGCAGAGTGTGTTTAAAGAAGCAGAGTGTGTTTAAAGGAGCAGAGTGTGTTTAAAGAAGCAGAGTGTGTTTAAAGAAGCAGAGTGTGTTTAAAGAAGCAGAGTGTGTTTAAAGGAGCAGAGTGTGTTTAAAGAAGCAGAGTGTGTTTAAAGAAGCAGAGTGTGTTTAAAGGAGCAGAGTGTGTTTAAAGAAGCAGAGTGTGTTTAAAGGAGCAGAGTGTGTTTAAAGAAGCAGAGTGTGTTTAAAGGAGCAGAGTGTGGCAGACCTCGGTGAGCTCTGGAGACTTGATCTGTTTGATCTTGAAGAAGTATCCGATGGTGAGGAAGGCGATGGCCAGAGCACTGACACTGACCATGAAGAGGACCAGGGGAGGCCTGCTGGTCACGTAGGAGCGCATGGTCTCCACCGGGCTGCACAGATACACCTGCACAGAAGGTGAGGCTGAAAGACCTGGTACCACCCGGACCACTCAGACCATAGAGACCACCCAGACCACTCAGACCATAGAGACCACCCAGACCACCCAGATGACCCAGTATGGGTTGGTAAATTGGTGGGTGGGTGGTAGGTGTATGTGTGGATGGGTGATAGGTGTATGGGTGGGTGTACGGGTGGTAGTTGTATGGGTGGGTGGGTGGTAGGTGGATGGGTGCCAAGCCCCGGCGATCCAAGATGGCGCCCTATTCAAATGAATGGTTGTGCTCAGTGGCGCTTTGTGACAGCATGGGGGCTGAAAGATTAGCAGAAGTCGCCTGGAACTCGCAAAGATCTATGGGAAACTCGCCTGTATTTGGGCATCGTCTGGTCCTCCCGGTTCTGTGCAGTGGATGATCTCCCATGATGCGTTGCGCCAAACACGCGTGTGTGGGTCTCACACCGGGTCTCATGCACGTGCACAGAGGGTCTCGGCCGCGCTCTGACCAATCAGAGCAGTTCATCAGAGCGGGAGTTAGAGCCAGAGCCAGAAAGCAGAGTTTGTGGCACTAAAGTGTGGATTTAAAGAAAACCGATGGATTTAAGAATAAAAAAAGTTCAGGATGAAAAGGGACACTAAAATACCCACAAAATCCGACCTTTATGAAAGCTGTAGGTTCTCTGTCAGCTGAGGTTGAGCTGTTTTAATATGCATTGAGTTCTATGGGGAAAATTTCTGGGTAGCCCACGTGAATTTAGTCTGGTTCAGTCTGCAGTACCGCGAGAATCCCCCGAGCACATGAGTTCTTCAGCTACAAGCTAGTAATACCCTATCCAGTTAATATAATAGATCCATGGTGGGTGCACGGGTGGAGCAGGTCACTCAGGTATGACGGGGCCAGGTGATGGAGAGCTTTGAATGTGAGAAGGAGGAGTTTAAACTGGATTCTGCGGGTTATGGGTACAGTGGAGTTGGGTGATAACCGCAGTGATGGATCTGTTTAGTTCGGGTGATGATCCTAGCAGCAGAGTTATGGACGTGTGGGAGACGTTGGATGTGTTTTTGGGGTAAACCAGTGAGAAGGGCGTTACAATAGTCCAGAGGGGACGTGACAAATGCATGAATTAGGACCTGAGAGCAGTGTTGGGAGAGATGGGCGGAGCTGGGAGAGAGATGGGCGGAGTTGGGAGGTATTTTTGATGTGAGCTGTAAATGAAAAAGTAGAGTCCAGTATAACACCTAAAGTACTCATCAGGAAGTACTCATAGGGAAGTACTCATAAGGAAGTACTCATAGGGAAGTACTCATAAGGAAGTACTCATAAGGAAGTACTCATAGGGAAGTACTCATAAGGAAGTACTCATAAGGAAGTACTCATAAGGAAGTACTCATAAGGAAGTACTCATAAGGAAGTACTCATCATTTCTGGGTCGGGGGGTGGCAGTCAGAGCTGCACCCAGTACACAGAGCTCCAGCCCCTCACTGATCCTCCTGCAGGTGGTGAGTCCACAGGAGCTGAGATCTTTCATTACATCTACTTTGAGAAAATCATCAGTGTTTGTGGGATCTAATGATATCTGATAATTTTGAGGAAAAACAATGTCTATGGCGTATTCATAACAGTTTAACAAAAGACTATTTTGACAGAAGGGGTGGGGGGACCTATTTATACCAGAAGTGACTGAAACTAGCATGAAGTTAAAACAAGTTTAAACTGAGGTGTCTGGGACTTATTGTCGGCTGTAAAGTGACTCTGTCTGCATTCCACCTGCTCTCTGGAATGTTCACACCCAGCATGCATTGGGGCCTGTGGACTGGACTCTGAGGGACTGGAGTCTGAGGGACTGGAGTCTGAGGGACTGGAGTCTGAGGGACTGGAGTCTGAGGGACTGGAGTCTGAGGGACTGGAGTCTGAGGAACTGGACTCTGAGGGACTGGAGTCTGAGGGACTGGAGTCTGAGGGACTGGAGTCTGAGGAACTTGACTCTGAGGGACTGGAGTCTGAGGGACTGGAGTCTGAGGGACTGGAGTCTGAGGGACTGGAGTCTGAGGAACTTGACTCTGAGGGACTGGAGTCTGAGGGACTGGAGTCTGAGGGACTGGAGTCTGAGGAACTTGACTCTGAGGGACTGGAGTCTGAGGGACTGGAGTCTGAGGAACTTGACTCTGAGGGACTGGAGTCTGAGAGTCTACAGTACAGTCATAGTGTTTGTTTACAGAGGTGAACAACCTGACAGACCAGCTGTGCTCTTTAACACACACACACACACACGCACACACACACACACACACACACACACACACACGCACACACACAGCCAATGCAAATGTTATAACAACATGTCACTGTTAGCTCGGTTCTTACCATCTTGTCCTATGCACGGGGGTGTTCCCGGGACTACCCGGGCGAGAGGCCTGTGCTCGGCCTGGAGCCCTGTGCTCCTCTGGCTTTAGCTGCAGCAGGATCCTCAGCAGAGACGCTCTGGCTTTAGCTCTGTGTCCGGAGCCTGTGGTGGTTGGTGCGGGAGCAGAGGAGGAGAGGCTCCCGGGACAGAGGGGCCCATGCTGGGCTCACTCTCCTGGTCCTGGTCCTTGTCCTGGTGCTGGTTCCAGTGCTAATGGTCCTGTTGCTGGTCTTGGTCCTGGTCCTGGTGCTGGTCCTGGTGCTGGTCTTGGTCCTGATCCTGGCCTCTGCTCTGTGTTTGGCTCCGCTTCCTGACGTGAGTGCGTCTCGCAGTGGAGTGCGTGCGTCTGTCCTATTCACGGAGCAACTGCGCCACTCTTCTGACGCAGCGCTGCGCTTTGTGCGCACTGTGCGCAGATCAGTGTTTAGTCTATGGTTTACACTCGGGCTGTGGTGACCGTGCACTTTGGTGAGCGTGCACGTGACCGTGCACTTTGATGGGCGTGCATGTGACCGTGCACTTGACTCACATATGTTTGCTCCGCCTGTTTGACAGGTGTCACGTTTGTCTTCTGGTTACTCTGTGTTCATGTAGTCTCTTTAATGCAGACTGAAATACAGCTAAACCCGTCATTATACAGACTGAAATACAGCACATAATATAATATAATTTTGTTTAACATGTGTTAGGGTTAGATAGAGTCGTGTTGACACTAAAACATGTAACACAGAACTCTGTATGAAAGGAGAATGGTATACATTCTACGTCATGGTGCTACGTCCCTTAGGACTTCGCTAGTGGGATATCACGTGACCCCCAGGTCACAGACGCCAGAGAGATCAAAATAATTTGCTCCAATCACCAGCCACCTTCCTCTATAAATGTCCCTGCACAAGGCCGCACCCCCTCTTTCACTCTGGCGCCGTTTGAGATCTACATTCGTTACCTGAGAAAGAAAGATGTCTTCTGATGCACGTCCGAGTTCCCCTTCGCCATCCGGCGTCGGACATTGTCGTTGCTCGACCTGTCGGGGCAAGCTCCAACGCAAGGACCAGCACTCCAGCTGCTTCATGTGCCTGGGTGCGGGCCATGCGGCGTTGAGCGCCACCTGCGCCTCGTGTGTCGCTCTCCCCAGGGAGGAGAGTGAACGCAGGCGCGCGTTCTTCGCCGCTACAGCGCCCCGTCCGGACTCCTCTAAGGACGAGGAGTCTGAGATTGACTGGGCCCCCCTCGACATTCCACCTGTGCCCGCGGAGTGGGGTGACTGCGAGGACGGAGAGGTGTCGGAGGTCGGCTCTCTCCTCACGCTGGACGAGGTGGTGTCCAACCCGGAGCCGGACCGCTTCCCGCTGGACCACATGCCTGGGCTCTACGCCACGGCGGCGGCCATCATGGATGCCCCCCTGCCACCGCAACCGAACCAGAGGGTGGAGGACTTCACCTCTGGGTACGCAGCCCCTCGAGGGAGGAGGAGAGCCCAGCCCACGTTGTGCCCGCGTATGGACCCGATCGTCCATTACGCGACACGTGAGTGGCCAAAACCCCTAGCGGCCAAGAGGCCCGCTTTGGGGTATGGCATGTACTGCAACGTGCAGGACTGGTCCTGGACAGGCGGGGTCCCGGACATCGAGGACTCGGTTCGGGCGGCCCTGCACCCCTCCTCATCCGTGTGGCCCAGCACCAGACCTCTCCTTCCCTCCGAGCGGGATAGGATGTCTCTGGCTATGCATGACAGATGTTACGCCAATGCGGCTCAGGTCGTCGCGGTGGCGAACAACATGGCTTTCATCACCGGGGCCCTGGATAGGTCTCTCTCCTCTGACCAGGCACTCAGTGGAGACACCTTAGCCCAGGCGAGGACCACTTCAGCAGCGATCTTGCGCATGTGCCAAGCGCTAGCTGTCGATGGCGGCCGCTCTATGGCAGCAGCCCAGGTCGGGGCCAGACACCTCTGGCTGGGGGCGGTGAACCTCAGAGAGGCGGAGAAGAGGCAGCTGCTGGACCTGCCCATCTCCCAGACGTCGCTCTTCGGTCCGGAGATGCAGACGCTGATGACGAGGCTGGACAGCGCGGCTAAGGACTCGGCTAGCCTAGCAAAACACCTAGCTACGAGACGCGAGGCCCGCCCACCAGCGCGGAGCCGAGACAGAGGCAGGGAGCGCTCGCCTGGCAAGCGCCCCGGACCATATCCACGCTCCGTGGTCCATCGTTCCCCAGCGGCGAGACCCCCGGGCCCAGACAGGCACACGGGAGGTTCGCGGGACCAACACACCCATCGACGGCCTCCCTACGGTAGAGGAGGTCGGGGTGGTAAAAACTCTTTCAATAAAGGCCGTCCGGCATTTCACCAGTACTCGCTGTCTGAGTCTCATTTGGGGGTATGTAACATGTCAAATGATTTGAATTCTGTTTGTGTTACTTCTCGAGCATATAACGTGGCTCCGCCAGGCCTGCAGCCCCCAGAGAAGGGCGTGCAGCGCGCTGTGCAGACCACGAGCTCCGATTCACGGGTTCATGTTTTGCCCTCCCGGAGAGGGCAGGCGGAGGGATCTGATAAGTGCTAATGTGTGTGCTCCGGGCGCTAGCGTGTTAGCATCTCTGAGCTACAAGGCTAACACGGGGTTTCCCAATCCAGGGGCTCTCCCCCCCCTCCATGAGGCAAGAGCCAAGGGGGGGCGCAGCAGCCGTGTCACGCGTGATGAGCAGAGCTACATTGCTAACACGGGGTTTCCTAATCCAGGGGCTCTTCCCCCCCTCCATGAGGCAAGAGCCAAGGGGGGGCGCAGCAGCCGTGTCACGCGTGATGAGCAGAGCTACAATGCTAACACGGGGTTTCCCGATGCAGGGGCTCGCCCCCCCCTCCATGAGGCAAGAGCCAGGGGGGGGCGCAGCAGCAGCCGGGTCACGTGTGGTGAGCAGTCCCGTACTTATGACGTCGGACCTGCAGAACACGTGACCGCCCTCGGCGCTCACGGTGTGACGCAGGGGCCCCCCCGGCCCTTTCAGCCACCCCCCCTCCCTGCTAGGAACACCAGGAGGGGGCGGGGCCATGACATCTCGTGTTCCAGCTCCCGTTCCGCCCCTCACAGATTTCTACGACATCTGGAAGGAGCAGGGCTTACTGTCAGATGTTTGGCTGGAGAAAACTCTGCGCAGAGGTTACGCTCTGCAATTTTTCCGAAAGCCACCACCATTCCGAGGCGTACGGGCAGTACGCTCTCAGGTACGGGGATCGACAGAGGCACTGGAAGCAGAGGTCTCCTCCCTGCTGAGTCGAGGCGCAGCAGTGGAGGTAGACCCGCAGGACGCCACTAGGGGGCTGTACTCCCCTTACTTTCTGGTGCCAAAGAAATCAGGCGGGGTGCGTCCCATTCTGGATCTGCGCGTGTTAAACGAGTGCATTTCCAAACGGCAGTTTCGGATGCTGTCCACAAGGCAGCTCCTCGAGTGTGTCAGGGAAGGAGACTGGATGACATCCATAGACCTGACAGACGCATACTTCCACGTACCCATAGTGCCAGAACACAGGAGATTTCTGCGCTTCGCAGTGGGAGAGAGGAATTACGAGTACTGCCGTCTCCCTTTCGGGTACGCTCTCGCGCCTCGCACTTTTTCCAAATGTGTGGAAGCGGCTCTGGAGCCGATCAGACGTGCCGGGGTAAGAATATTGACCTATATAGACGATTGGTTAATACTGGCCCCATCCAGGGAAGTGGCCGTGAGCCACACGCAATGGGTCTTGTCCCACATACAGCGTCTGGGCTTTGTGGTGAACAGGGAGAAGAGCAAGCTGCAGCCAGCCCAACGCATGATTTACCTCGGTCTGCAGCTAGACTCTGTGATATTCCGTGCTGCATTGTCCGTGGACAGACGGACGAATATTACCCGTCTGGCCCGGGAGGTTCTGGCGGGCCCCAGAGTTCCCGCTCGGCGCCTCAGGTCCCTGCTGGGGATGATGGCAGCGGCTCATGCTGTGGTGCGGCTAGGCCTGCTCCACATGAGAAATTTTCAGAGGTGGTTCTCGCGCCTCAGGCTTCACCCCTCCCGGGACGGGGGGAGGCAGCGTTTCCGTCGAATTGTTATTCACGCGGGTGGTAATGACGTTCGGCGGAAACAGTCCGAGGTGTTGAAGCTGCAAGTCCCATTTATGTTAAGGAAGCAGATACGGTCTCCACATTCAAGGCCAGGCTTAAAGCACTTTATAATGTATTGTGTTATGTTGTATATTATGTTATATATTATGCTGTATGTTATTCTTTATTCAAGGCTAGGTTTAAAACAGTCCTCTTTAGTTTAGCATATGGCTAGGAAGGTAAGACTCGGAGAAGGTTAAACTCCTCAGAGTGTTAGTCAAGCTGCATAGGGAGTCAGTTTGCTTCCAAGGTTTCTCACTTTTTCCCACTGGGTTTTTTAAGAGTTTTTCCTTGTCGATGCAGGAGGGTCTTGTTGGACAGTTAGTGTCCAACAGAAAGGATTGGTGATGATCAGGACACTTTAGCATTCTACAACATGTATGGACATTTTCTTCTGTGTGTGCTTTATACTGTATTCTTCATGTGTTTTAACTGTTGATTCTCTGACCTGTGTTGGTGATTTCAATGGTTTTGTTAAGTCCTCTGAGATGACTTCTGTTGTGACCTAGGGCTATACAAGAATAAATTGTATTGTATTGTATTGTATCTGGGTTCCCCAAGGGGCAGCATCGGACATCAGGTTCTGGCTCACTCCGGGTCTACTGCGGGACGGAGTGACTCTGGCCTGCGCTGTGTCTCACGCCGAGGTGTTCACGGACGCGTCGCTCGAAGGATGGGGCGGGGTCCTCGGCCAGAGCTCTGTAGGAGGCTGCTGGTCGGACTCAGCCCGTCACATCAACCTGCTGGAGATGGAGGCAGTGCACAGAGTACTGCTGCACTTTGCCCCTCAGCTGCAGGGGAGACACGTGATGGTGCGCTCAGACAACACCACAGTGGTCTCCTATCTGAACAGGCAGGGGGGCACCAGGTCCCCCGCTCTCCATCGCATGGCGACGGTGACGCTGCTGTGGGCGGCGCTTCACCTCCTGTCTCTCAGGGCGCGCCACGTCCCGGGGGTCCGGAACGTGGGAGCCGACAGGATGTCCAGGGGGGGCCCACTCCAGGACGAGTGGGGCCTGGCCCCACGGGTAGCCGCGGAGATCTGGCGGAGGTTCGGTCGTCCAGTAGTCGACCTTTTCGCCAGTGCAGAGAACGCACAGTGCCCGTCCTGGTTCGCCTTAAGGGCCGCGGACGAGCCGCCTTTAGGCGTGGACGCTCTGGCTCATTACCCATGGCCAGGCGGCCTGTTGTACGCTTTTCCACCGGTGCGTCTCCTGCCGGTCCTACTGCGGAGGATCGAACAGGAGAGGAGGTCGGTGATTCTGGTGGCTCCGGACAGCCCGCATGCCCGGTGGTTCCCCTTCCTGAGGGGCATGGCGGTGATGGAGCCCTGGGCCCTCCCGGACGAGCCGGGGGCTCTAGTCCAGGGGGCAGGAGCCCTGTTTTCACGTCCGATAATCGGCCGCAGGCTCTGGGTTTGGAGGTTGAGAGGCGGAGCCTCGTAGATCTGGGTCTTCCCCCTGCGGTGGTGGAGACAATTCAGGGAGCGAGGGCGCCGTCCACCGTGAGGGCCTACGCCACGAGGTGGAGGCTATTCAGTGCCTGGTGCGATTCCCGTTCCTGGGATCCCAGGTTTTGCCCGCTGGAGGGGGTCCTGGGATTCCTACAGGAGCTTTTCGACAAGGGGAGGGCTGTCGCTACCTTGGCGGTGTTTGCGGCAGCCATTACTTCAGGTCACGACGGGTTCGGGGGGTTCACAGCCCGCTCTCACCCGTTGATTAAACGTTTTCTGCGGGGGGCGCGCAGGAGGAGGCCCCCGCTCCAGAGAACGCCTCCGGTTTGGGACCTCAGGGTGGTCCTTAGGGGGCTGTCGGGTTCGCCTTTTGAACCGGCGGCGGAGGCGAGTCCCGATTGTATCGCTTTTAAGACGGCCCTCTTGCTGGCGTTGGCGTCTGCAAAAAGGGCGGGCGATTTGTGTGCGCTCTCAGTCCATGCGTCGTGCCTGTCCTTTGGAGAGGACGACGGCATGGTGGAGTTGTGGCCCAATCCGGCTTTTCTCCCCAAGGTCATCACGTCGGCCTTTAGGTCGAGAGTGATCAGGATTAGGGCTTTCCACCCGCCGCCGCATGCCTCCCCCGAGGAGGAGCGGCAGCACCTTCTGTGTCCTATCAGAATGCTGAGGCATTACCTGGCCATGACGTCGTCATTTCAGGTCGGGTGATCAGCTGTTTGTGTGTCTGGGCCCCAAGAACAGGGGCGCCCCGCTGTCGGCTCAGCGGCTGGCGCATTGGGTCGCCACGGCGGTGCGACGGGCGTATCAGGCGCAGGGCCTGGCCCCCCCGGTGGCTTTCAGGTCGCATTCCACGCGTGGGATGGCGGCCTCTACGGCCCTTCTCAGGGGGGCGTCGGTCGAGGACGTTTGCCGTGCGGCTTCTTGGGCGTCGTCCTCCTCTTTCGTCCGGTCTTATCTTTCGGATGTGTCGGACCGGTCGGTGGCCCATTCCGTGCTGAGTGCAGCGGATTGAGTTGGACCGTTGGGTCCCTCCCCTGAGGAGTGGGCCTTCGGTCTATTTTTCCGCCCTGGTGCAGGAGCTCTTGGGAGAGGCATCCTACAGGTGCGGTACATATATGTGTGTTTGATCGGTCTGGTAGTCTACATCAGGAGCTCTTGGGAGAGGCGTCCTGTGACTACGGTTGACCTACGATTGGTGTTACGTGGGGGCGTCCTTGGTAGGAGTGGCCCGGTAACACGCTTTGTTTCTTCTGCCCTGAGTCCTCTCACGGTGTGAGGGTCTTGCTCGGGCGGAGCTCCAATCACCCTTCGCTGGCCTGCTGGGAGTACATGTTCCTACGGCCTCCGCGTTGTGTCCCACTAGCGAAGTCCTAAGGGACGTAGCACCATGACGTAGAATTAATAGTTACCTAATGTAACTTAAGTTCTACGAATAGGTGCGTAGTCCCTTAGCTACGAGCCCATCAGGCCAGCCCGGCTTGGCAGAGTTCAAGAGGGGGTGCGGCCTTGTGCAGGGGCATTTATAGAGGAAGGTGGCTGGTGATTGGAGCAAATTATTTTGATCTCTCTGGCGTCTGTGACCTGGGGGTCACGTGATATCCCACTAGCGAAGTCCTAAGGGACTACGCACCTATTCGTAGAACTTAAGTTACATTAGGTAACTATTAATTACTCTTGTTCCTGCCAGAGGTGAAATATAAAGTTAATGTGTATAAAAGGGTTTCAACCCTTCAAAAACAATGTACAAAGTGAATGCAGATCTATAATAGTCAGGCTGCTGTTCCCCTGGTTACCGGCAGGTGGCGCACAACACTGCACTGTGCGCCAGAAGAAGCACAGTGTTTACAGACAATGGTCATGCTTTAGCTTTAGCATTAGCGCACCAACTTTCAGCACAGATACTTTCAGCACAGATACTTTCAGCACAGATACTTTGAACACAGATACTTTGAACACGGACTGTGACCCCGCCTACCCCTGAGCACGTGAGTAGAGTCTGTTTATTTACGCTCCAGGACAGAGCTCTCAGCATCAGTTAGCAACAGCTAGCTATTAGCATGCTAAGGCAGAACACAATACATATCTCTGCAACGTGTATGTAACTGTTTATCAAGGCAATATTATGGGATGTTAGGGTTACATCTGAATAACTAGTGGCATTACAGGACCATGGACTATCACAGGACCATGGACTATCACAGGACCATGGACTATCACAGGACCATGGGCATTTAAAGAGACACAGTGGACGAGGCTCCATCAGCTGCTGCTGTGTCAGATGAAGATCCTGTATGTCCAGCCGCGACATTTCAGTGTTGCATCACAAGTTACAGAACTGCAGGAATGAGGAGCACAAGTCATTTATATGATAAATAATCACAGTTTCTAAGATAAGATAAGATAGACTTTATTGATCTCATACAGGGCACGGTGGCTGAGTGGATAGCACTCTCGCCTCTCAGCAAGAAGGTCCTGGGTTCGAATCCCGGTCGGACCAGGGCCTTTCTGAGTGGAGTTTGCATGTTCTCCCCGTGTCTGCATAGGTTTCCTCCGGGTACTCCGGTTTCCCCTACCACTAAAAATATGTCCAATAGTTCTGGCATGCGCTTCCTGTACTGGCCCCTCCCATCTCTGTGTGGAGTGAGAGACAAATGCCCAAAAATTAACAATTGTAAACCGCTTTGAGACTCAGATCTGCAGTGAAAAGGCGGTATATAAATAAAAACTTACTTACTAACTTACTTACTTACAGGATAAATGTACATTTCACATCTGGCATGGCTAGAATCACTCAAAATTGTGGAAAGGAAAGAAATGTGCAACATGTTAAATGCAGGATATACTATGTACAATAAAAAGTGGCAAAAAAAAGAGTGAAGATATAATCCTTTCTGTTGTTGCAGAAACAGAACTGTTTTAACCTGGATTTGAACATTGTCAGAGAAAAAGCCTGTTTCACATTTTCAGGAAAACTTCCAGAATTTAGCATAAATATGAAACGCTGCCTCCTCATGTTTAGTCTTGACTCTGGGACCAGCAGGAGGCCAGTCCCTGTGCTCCTCAGTGTTGGTTCATATGCCTCTAACATGTCACAGTGGCCTTTGGTGCGAGGTCATGGAGAAACTTGTAACAAGCAGAGACCAGGACTAGTGTGAGAGGACTTCAGGACTTGACCTGAGACAAGGACTAATGTGATGGTACTTCCTGGTTCTAGTCAGGACTCTTCCTGGTGTATTTCAGGGTCTCTCCTCTGCTGGATGCTGATTGGTCGTCTCATTCCACAGACCGTCCGATTTCTCCGATTTCCTTTTCACGTCACATTCCCAACACCTCCTTCTCTCCTTCCCAAATCTCCGGTTTGGGTCCCAGCCTCCTGCCCCGGCCGCCGCCCCATCCATGCTCTAGCCCATCCGCTGTGCTCCCTTGACCGCGGCCTCCCCCTCTCCCCCGTCTCCCCCATCTCCCCCAACATGACCGAGCAGAGGTTCATCGTGGAGTACGCCAAGCGAGGCACGGCCGGCTGCAAGAAATGCAAGGACAAGATCGCCAAAGGCATCGTGCGCATCGGCAAAGTGGTGCCCAACCCCTTCAGTGAGTCGGCCGGAGACATGAAGGAGTGGTACCACGTCAAGTGCATTTTCGAGAAGCTGGAGCGGGCACGAGCCACCACCAAGAAGATCGAGGATATCACAGACCTGGAAGGATGGGAGGAGCTCCAGGACGAAGACAAGGACATCATCAACAAGCATGTGGCAGGTACCTCCTACATGTGACATCACAGACTGTTCCTACATGTGACATCACAGACTGTTCCTACATGTGACATCACAGACTGCTCCTACATGTGACATCACAGACTGTTCCTACATGTGACATCACAGACTGCTCCTACATGTGACATCACAGACTGTTCCTACATGTGACATCACAGACTGTTCCTACATGTGACATCACAAACTGTTCCTACATGTGACATCACAGACTGTTCCTACATGTGACATCACAGACTGCTCCTACATGTGACATCACAGACTGTTCCTACATGTGACATCACAGACTGTTCCTACATGTGACATCACAGACTGTTCCTACATGTGACATCACAGACTGTTCCTACATGTGACATCACAGACTGTTCCTACATGTGACATCACAAACTGTTCCTACATGTGACATCACAGACTGTTCCTACATGTGACATCACAGACTGTTCCTACATGTGACATCACAGACTGTTCCTACATGTGACATCACAAACTGTTCCTACATGTGACATCACAGACTGTTCCTACATGTGACATCACAGACTGCGCCTACATGTGACATCACAGACTGTTCCTACATGTGACATCACAGACTGTTCCTACATGTGACATCACAAACTGTTCCTACATGTGACATCACAAACTGTTCCTACATGTGACATCACAGACTGTTCCTACATGTGACATCACAGACTGCTCCTACATGTGACATCACAGACTGTTCCTACATGTAACATCACAGACTGTTCCTACATGTGACATCACAGACTGTTCCTACATGTGACATCACAGACTGTTCCTACATGTGACATCACAGACTGTTCCTACATGTGACATCACAGACTGCTCTTACACGTGACATCACCTCCTGCTCCAACACGTGACATCATACACTGTAATAAGTGAATCAGACCAAACTTTGATGTAAAATATTTTAAGTAATTACTACATACTTCATTTTCCACTATTCTATATTTTTGGTTAACAAATAAGTACTGTATAATATTATCATAGCACCCTGTACAATACTGATTTTATTGCTTTAAGTGAAAATACTTTAAATATTTCTTCTATAAGCCTGGTGGTCCATTAATGACAAAACAAATATATTGTGTTAATTGAAAACAAAATGTGGCGAAGCAGTGATGCTACCCAGAATGCATTGCAGAGCAAAATATAAACTTCTTAAAAATTCTAAATTTTAAGAATGAATATGAAGCAAGTCCTAAAGCAAAATACTTGAGCAACATTTTGAATAAAATAAGTTGATCAAATAAGTCATTGTATTTATTTTTACCAACCGTGATCGACAGGGTCAAGCCAAACTACCCTATACTCCCTGGGTTCAAATCAGACATCAGATACTATGGTCATGATGCTTGCTTAAAAACAAGTCCTAAACAGGTTGCAGGCACATTTACTCCCCAGCATGAGAGTTACAGAGTTCAATAGCACAATGTAAGGATTACAAAAACTAACAAACTTTCTCCAGGTGGAAGAAAGTTTCATTTTGAATGAATACAAAAATATTGAGTATATTGATCATCTCCAAGTTAGTTTTGCTTTGAAAGGACAAAAAAATTTTAAGTAAATCCATCACTTCAAAGTAATAGTTTAATTTAATATTCTTTATTACTTAATAAAGAGCTAAAGTTGATGATACTCAAAAAGGCCGATGGAACCTCTTAAAGAAATTTTTTTTGTTTCCGATTAAAGCAACACTTTTTACAGTGCAGACTGCTCCCACACGTGACATCACCTCCTGCTCCTACACGTGACATCACCTCCTGCTCCTACACGTGACATCACAGACTGCTCTTACACGTGACATCACAGACTGCTCTTACACGTGACATCACAGACTGCTCTTACACGTGACATCACAGACTGCTCTTACACGTGACATCACAGACTGCTCTTACACGTGACATCACAGACTGCTCCTACACGTGACATCACCTCCTGCTCCTACACGTGACATCACAGACTGCTCTTACACGTGACATCACAGACTGCTCTTACACGTGACATCACAGACTGCTCTTACACGTGACATCACAGACTGCTCTTACACGTGACATCACAGACTGCTCTTACACGTGACATCACCTCCTGCTCCTACACGTGACATCACCTCCTGCTCCTACACGTGACATCACCTCCTGCTCTTACACGTGACATCACAGACTGCTCTTACACGTGACATCACAGACTGCTCTTACACGTGACATCACAGACTGCTCTTACACGTGACATCACAGACTGCTCTTACACGTGACATCACAGACTGCTCTTACACGTGACATCACAGACTGCTCCTACACGTGACATCACAGACTGCTCTTACACGTGGCATCACAGACTGCTCCTACACGTGACATCACCTCCTGCTCCTACATGTGACATCACCTCCTGCTCCTACACGTGACATCACAGACTGCTCTTACACGTGAAATCACAGACTGCTCCTACACGTGACATCACCTCCTGCTCCCACATGTGACATCACCTCCTGCTCCCACACGTGACATCACAGACTGCTCTTACACGTGACATCACAGACTGCTCCTACACGTGACATCACCTCCTGCTCCTACACGTAACATCACAGACTGCTCTTACACGTGACATCACAGACTGCTCTTACACGTGACATCTAAGACTGCTCTTACACGTGACATCTAAGACTGCTCTTACACGTGACATCACAGACTGCTCTTACACGTGACATCACAGACTGCTCCTACACGTGACATCACAGACTGTTCCCACAGGTCCATACTACAGTGGGACGTGATGTTTAACTAAAGCTATACTTTAAAGATTTACATGGATCTAAATAAATATATCATTTTTAAAAAGCCCCAAACTACAGTGGAGTTCAGACGTGTGTGTGTGTGTGTGTGTGTGTTTCAGATCTGCTGACTAAGATCAATGCCAGTCCCAAGAAGAAGGTTCAGTCCAAGATGAACACCAGTGCTCAGTCTGACCCCAGCACTAACGCACCGCGCAAGTTCTCTGGCTTCACTGGTGAGTCCTGTGCCAGTCCTGTGCCAGTCCTGTGCCAGTCCTGTGCCAGTCCTGTGCCAGTCCTGTGCCAGTCCTGTGCCAGTCCTGTTCCAGTCCTGTGCCAGTCCTGTGCCAGTCCTGTGCCAGTCCTGTGCCAGTCCTGTGCCAGTCCTGTGCCAGTCCTGTGCCAGTCCTGTGCCAGTCCTGTGCCAGTCCTGTTCCAGTCCTGTGCCAGTCCTGTGCCAGTCCTGTTCCAGTCCTGTTCCAGTCCTGTTCCAGTCCTGTTCCAGTCCTGTGCCAGTCCTGTGCCAGTCCTGTGCCAGTCCTGTTCCAGTCCTGTTCCAGTCCTGTGCCAGTCCTGTGCCAGTCCTGTGCCAGTCCTGTGCCAGTCCTGTGCCAGTCCTGTTCCAGTCCTGTTCCAGTCCTGTGCCAGTCCTGTGCCAGTCCTGTGCCAGTCCTGTTCCAGTCCTGTTCCAGTCCTGTTCCAGTCCTGTGCCAGTCCTGTGCCAGTCCTGTGCCAGTCCTATCCCAGTCATGAAAGCTAACAGTGAATGAGTCATGGAAGCTAACAGTGAATGAGCCATGGAAGCTAACGGTGAATGAGCCATGGAAGCTAACGGTGAATGAGCCATGGAAGCTAACGGTGAATGAGCCATGGAAGCTAACGGTGAATGAGCCATGGAAGCTAACGGTGAATGAGCCATGGAAGCTAACGGTGAATGAGCCATGGAAGCTAACGGTGAATGAGTCATGGAAGCTAACAGCTGCTACATTAGACATGAAAACCCGCAGCCTATCTTCCAGTGAGGCCTGTGGTGATGCAGATTTAGGTGGTGAAGCTTAAATACAGGTGTGGTTTATAGAAGGATGCCTTTGTTCCTGATGCCTGTGCTTGTCTCCCCCACAGCAGCTAAAGCCTCCCCCTCTCCCCCCACCGCTGGTCCCTCCTCCTCCTCCCCGGTTCAGGGCAGTGCTCTGTCGGCTCGCCTCTGTGACCCCACCCACAAAGACTGCCTCCTCAGAGAGTTCCGGAAACTGTGTGCGATGGTGGCAGAGAACGCCAGCTACAACACCAAGACCCAGATCATCGAGAGGTTCCTCCGAAAGGGCTCCGCAGGAGGTGAGAGGTGCTCCTGTGGGAGGTGTGAGATGCTTCTGCAGGAGGTGAGAGGTGCTCCTGCGGGAGGTGAGAGGTGCTCATCTAGGAGGTGAGAGATGCTTCTGCAGGAGGTGAGCGGTGCTCCTGTGGGAGGTGAGAGGTGCTCATCTAGGAGGTGAGAGATGCTTCTGCAGGAGGTGAGAGGTGCTCCTGTGGGAGGTGAGAGGTGCTCCTGTGGGAGGTGAGAGGTGCTCCTGTGGGAGGTGAGAGGTGCTCCTGTGGGAGGTGAGAGGTGCTCCTATGGGAGGTGAGAGATGCTTCTGCAGGAGGTGAGAGGTGCTCCTGCGGGAGGTGAGAGGTGCTCCTGTGGGAGGTGAGAGGTGCTCCTATGGGAGGTGTGAGATGCTTCTGCAGGAGGTGAGAGGTGCTCCTGCAGGAGGTGAGACATGCTCCTGCAGGAGGTGAGAGAGGAGGTTCTCTGACACTAATCCAGTGTGTATTATATCTGAGCCTAGTCTTACACCAGAGACACTCAGCTCTAACCCTCTGTAGTCATGTTTTCATGTGTTCATCATGTGTTCATGTGTGCAGATGGTTTCAGCTGTTCATGTGTGCAGATTTATTTATTTATTTATTTATTTGTTTAGAGGATAAGCCCCTTGAGATGAACCATCTCATTTTCGAGGGGGTCCTCGAGATTTCACAAAGTGACAGATACAGCAAAACAAAAATACAAGAAAATAATAAAAAATAAAACATAAAAAAACATAAATACACACACATAAACCCTCAATCACTCACACACACACACGCTGTGACTGTACTGTAATTACACTAAATTAGGATAATACTATTAATAATAGTAATAACAATAATTAGGAGACAGTAAAGATAAGATTAGGTCTCATAACCTAAGATCAAAAACATTGACATGAATTCTGGAGCTATTGTAGCAGAGCAGATTTAAACAGAGGCAGAGAAGTTGGAGAGCGAATAGACAACGGCAAACTGTTCCAGTCAGACGGAGCTTTAAATTCAAATGCATGTTTTCCAGCTTTTTTCACTCTTGGGACGACAAAAAAAGATTGATTTGCACGACGCAAACTGTACAAGGATTGGAAAGGAATCATATATTGTTTTAAATATTCTGGAAAACTGAGATAAATACTTTTGAAGATAAACAATAGCCAATGTAGCTGACGTCTGGAGGACAGAGAGAGCCACAACAGCTGCTCGTACATCAGGCAGTGATGAGTTCTGAACGGACAGTGGAGGATGAACCTACACAGGCTGTTCGAAGAGACAGTCAGAGGCTGGAGAACAGAGGCAGAGGTGTTTTGATAAATTATATCACAGTAGTCAAGAATGGGGAGAATCAGTTGAGAAATGATACTCTTCCTTACTGATAAACTAAAACAGTTAATCGATTGATAAATTAAAAAAAATATATTATCTTGTAATTGTTTGTATATGAATATTAAATGACAGAGAAGGATCGAGCCATAAGCCGAGATATTTAAACCGATCTGGAACTGGAGACATGTCTGAAAACACAAGATTAATTTCATTTGTGGAAACAGGACACACTCTCTTCTGGAATAGTAAAAAATCTGTTTTTGATTTGTTAAGTAACAATTTGTTAGATTGTAGCCATAAATTAACTGAATTGAAGTCATTTTGAATAGAGTGTTGGATATCAGCAATGTTAGCTTTGGATGAATAGATTACTGTATCATCAGCATAAAGTTGGATCTGACTGTCTGTACATGCAAGGGGAAGATCATTAATAAATATGGAGAACAGTAGAGGACCAAGTGATGAGCCTTGATCCTCCCTTTGGCTGATAAGTATTCTGATAGTACACTGATAAACACTACTTTTTCATAAACTTTTACTATACTATTAATAATTTAAATGGGTCTATAGTTATTGATATCACTAATGTCACCCACTTTGTGAAGGGGGATCACTTTTGCACATTTCCAGGCAGAGGGAACTTCACAAGTGTTAAATGATAAGTTAAAAAGATATGCCAGAGGAAAGCACAGAACATGGGAGGCCATTTTGATGAACTTGGCCTCAATACCATCTGGGCCGGCACTGCAAGAAGATAGTCCATTCAAGATCTGTTCTACTGCAGCAGGGCTAACTCGCCTGAAGGAGAAACTGCTCCTACATGGAACATAATTGAAAGAAACAGAGTAATGAGGAGGAGACTGGGCTTGAGGCAAATGAGTAAAATGTTGATTAAAAGCAGTGGCCATAGTGTTTGCCTCATTTGTGAATACATCATTGATGAGCATATTATTGGAGGCAGAGTTGGAGTTGGTGCAGATATTACGCAGGCGTCTGTATTCGTCCCAGTCAGCAGTGAGCTTTGAATCCTTAAATTTAGAACAAGCCTTGTCCCGTTGTCTGTACAGACTAATCAGTTCACCATTAACCCAGGGAAGATGGTTTCCTTTAATCCTAATTTCTCTGAAAGGTGCATGTTTGTTAATAACAGTTAAAAATTCAGAATAAAAATGATCCCAAGCTTCATGTATAGATGGTATTAGACCAAGTCTGTCCCAGTTAATATTCACAACATCAGTAACAAAGTTATTCAAGTTAAACAGTTTTGTCATTCGAATTCTTATGAGTTTAGGAGGAAGACGAGAGTGTTTAATTTTCCAAATACATTAAACAATGCAGTGATCACTGAAACAGTCAGCTAACACACCAGATTCAAGGAATCTATCTGGATGAGTCACTAAGATCCAATCCAGAAGGGATTGGGATGTGAGGGTAATACGTGTGGGATCATTTATCAACTGAGAAAAGTTGGAACTATTAAATGTGTTACGTTCTGTTGCAGAAGAGCGAGCTAACCAATTTATGTTAAAGTCACCAAGGATGATAAGTTCTTTGTTTATCAACAAACAAAAACAGATGTTTTCATCTGTTCATGTGTGCAGATGGTTTCAGCTGTTCATGTGTGCAGATGGTTTCAGCTGTTCATGTGTGCAGATGGTTTCAGCTGTTCATGTGTGCAGATGGTTTCAGCTGTTCATGTGTGCAGATGGTTTCAGCTGTTCATGTGTGCAGATGGTTTCAGCTGTTCATGTGTGCAGATGGTTTCAGCTGTTCATGTGTGCAGATGGTTTCAGCTGTTCATGTGTGCAGATGGTTTCAGCTGTTCATGTGTGCAGATGGTTTCATCTGTTCATGTGTGCAGATGGTTTCATCTGTTCATGTGTGCAGATGGTTTCATCTGTTCATGTGTGCAGATGGTTTCAGCTGTTCATGTGTGCAGATGGTTTCAGCTGTTCATGTGTGCAGATGGTTTCAGCTGTTCATGTGTGCAGATGGTTTCCATGGAGACCTGTTCCTGACGGTGAAGCTGCTGCTTCCTGGTGTAGTGAAGAGCGTCTACAACCTGAACGACAAACAGATTGTCAAACTCTTCAGCCGCATTTTCAGGTGTAACCAGGACCAGATGGTGCGGGACCTGGAGCAGGTAAGAATCAGGTGTATCCAGGACCAGATGGTGTGGGACCTGGTAGTGTAGTGTAACTGTGTTGTTGCCAGGGCGACGTGACTGTAGTGTAACTGTGTTGTTGCCAGGGCGACGTGTCTGTAGTCTGTGTAGTTGTTGCCAGGGCGACGTGTCTGTAGTGTAACTGTTGTTGTTGCCAGGGCGACGTGGCTGTAGTGTAACTGTGTTGTTTCCAGGGCGACGTGTCGGAGACCGTAAGGATGTTCTTCGATGACAGTCAGACCTTTCCTCCTTCGGCCAAAAGTCTCCTGACGCTGCAGGAAGTGGACGCCTCTCTGACCCGCCTGGCCCAGCTCACCAAGGAGGACGACCAGCAGACTGAACTGGAGGCTATTGCTAAGAAGTGGGAACACAACAATACACACAACTACACAACACACACAGATGATTCTCCACCTGCTCACAGCCATTTATACTGAGTATTTATATCCTACACCTGTGTTTGTGTCTCACCTGGTTACATGTCTCACCCGGTCAGGTGTCTCACTGGGTCAGGTGTCTCACCCGGTCAGGTATCTCACTGGGTCAGGTGTCTCACTCGGTCAGGTGTCTCATTGGGTCAGGTGTCTCATTGGGTCAGGTGTCTCACCCGGTCAGGTGTCTCACTGGGTCAGGTGTCTCACCCGGTCAGGTGTCTCACTGGGTCAGGTGTCTCACTCGGTCAGGTGTCTCATTGGGTCAGGTGTCTCATTGGGTCAGGTGTCTCACCCGGTCAGGTGTCTCACCCGGTCAGGTGTCTCACCCGGTCAGGTGTCTCACTGGGTCAGGTGTCTCACTCGGTCACGTGTCTCACATGGTCACGTGTCTCACATGGTCACGTGTCTCACCTGGTCACGTGTCTCCACAGATGCACCAGTAACGACCTGAAGTGTATCATTCGTCTGATCAAACACGACCTGAAGATGAACGCAGGAGCAAAACATGTGTGAGTATTTATACTTTATTCTACTATACTTTACTTATATGAATACTACTGCTACAGTCTCAGTACATCTACAGTAGCATTAGCAGTAGTAACAGAAGCAGCAGTAGCAGCGGCAGTAGTAGCAGCAGCGGCAGTAGCAGTAGTAGCAGCAGTTGCAGTAGTAGCAGCAGCAGTAGAAAACAGCAGCAGCAGCAGTAGTAACAGCAGCAGCAGCAGTAGTAACAGCAGCAGCAGCAATAGCAGCAGCAGTAGCAGCAGCAGTAGCAGCAGTAGCAGCAGCAGCAGCAGCAATAGCAGCAGCAGTAGCAGCAGCAGTAGTAACAGCAGTTGTAGCAGCAGCAGCAGTAGTACCAGCAGCAGCAGTAGTACCAGCAGCAGCAGTAGTACCAGCAGTAGTAGTACCAGCAGTAGTAGTACCAGTACTTCATGAGCCTGTGTCTCTGGTCCAGTCTGGACGCTGTGGACCCAAACGCCTACGATGCCTTCAAAGCCTCCAGGAACCTGGGAGACGTGATCGAGAGAGTCCTGAAGAACCAGCAGGAGGCGTCTGGCTCCGGGACCAGGAAGCTGCTCACCATTGAGGCTTCTCTCATGACACCAGTGCAGCCCATGCTGGTACCAGCACACCCTCACTACACCCTCACCACAACACACCCTCACTACACCCTCACCACAACACACCCTCACTACACCCTCACCACAACACACCCTCACCACAACACACCCTCACTACAACACACCCTCACTACACCCTCACCACAACACACCCTCACTACAACACACCCTCACCACAACACACCCTCACTACAACACACCCTCACTACAACACACCCTCACCACAACACACCCTCACTACAACACACCCTCACTACACCCTCACCACAACACACCCTCACTACAACACACCCTCACCACAACACACCCTCACTCACTACAACACACCCTCACTACAACACACCCTCACCACAACACACCCTCACTACAACACACCCTCACTACAACACACCCTCACCACAACACACCCTCACTACAACACACCCTCACCACAACACACCCTCACTACACCCTCACCACAACACACCCTCACTACACCCTCACCACAACACACCCTCACCACAACACACCCTCACTACAACACACCCTCACCACAACACACCCTCACTACAACACACCCTCACCACAACACACCCTCACTACACCCTCACCACAACACACCCTCACTACAACACACCCTCACTACAACACACCCTCACTACAACACACCCTCACTACAACACACCCTCACTACAACACACACCCTCACCACAACACACCCTCACTACACCCTCACCACAACACACCCTCACTACAACACACCCTCACTACAACACACCCTCACTACAACACACCCTCACCACAACACACCCTCACTACACCCTCACCACAACACACCCTCACTACAACACACCCTCACTACAACACACACCCTCACTACAACACACACCCTCACCACAACACACCCTCACTACACCCTCACCACAACACACCCTCACCACAACACACCCTCACTACAACACACCCTCACCACAACACACCCTCACTACAACACACCCTCACCACAACACACCCTCACTACACCCTCACTACAACACACCCTCACTGCAACACACCCTCACTACCCCACTTCCTCACTACAACACCAGATTCAGATTCATTTTATTTGCCATTTGACATTCGGCTTTCTCCAATGTAGTTGATGTGACAGCTGGTTCTTGTGACATGAATGACACTTCTCCATTTAGTGTCCCTTTTTCCTCTGACCTCTTGACCATTGTTGTATGAGGTGCGAGATCTTCTCGGAGGTTGAATATGTGCAGAGTTGTTGCCCTCTTCAGTTAGGATTGGCGTCCTGTTCGTGACGCCAATTTGTAGTAGCCGAACTTTATACCAATAATAATAACTCTCACAGGAGTCTCACTCTCTACATCAAATAGACCTTAGATTGTTTATGAGTTAGTATCAGGATTAGGTTATAAATCTCCAACGCGCGGTCTGAGAATTAATTCCCTGAAGAAGTCCTTAGGATTGAGGACGAAATGTCGGGAAAACCTGCTAAGAAGTACAGATGATGGGTGAGAAACCTTCCTTTGCTTTGACCAGTCCCTGTACGACTGAGGGCTTACACAAACTTATCGTTGCCAACTTTGGGGGGGGCGCCCTGGTCTTGGCACGCGGGTTGGAGAAAATCAAAAGAAAATTAGCAGACGCCAGAAATCATCTTAGGTTTAATTTTAGGTGTAGCCAGAGTAAACTTATCCCAAAATGTTTAAAGCAAAAAGCATTAGAAACAGGCCAGTTGGCAAGAAAAATACAACAAAACTACTGTATGAAGATTCTCAATTTAAGAATTCGACGACTTAACATAGAGATTATAAACCTAAAGGACGAGATAGAGTGCCTTAAGCACAAACTGGAATTGGCAGTCTCACCAGAGTTTTTTCAGAGGATTTGGACGTTTACGGAAACTGCCCTACTGAACCATCACAAGAAGGGCAAAGAGCATCAGATAGGCAAATTTCTATAACTCCAAAACCATAATTCTTTTCAACATTCTAAAAGTGAAATTGGACAAGGTGTGGGCAGGGAGAATTGGGTCAAAAATCTGTCCGATCGGCATTTATCACAAGCGGAAAAAGATGTTCTTACTAAAGGCCTAAATTTTGCAATAACCCCAAAAGATATTCCTACAATTGAATACATCACAGCAGCAGAAGCAGCCATTAGAAACAACAAACTAACTGAGAGTGAGGCGGGGGCCCTCTGACTGAGAGTCTCTGCAACACTCAAAAGTGCTAAGCCCCCATAATCCAATGTCTCATTAGATGAGCAAAAAGCATTATTGGCATTACAAAAGGATGAGAGTATAACTATTTTACCAGCTGACAAAGGCAGATGCACAGTTATCCTCAACAGCTCAGACTATGAGGCCAAAGTTAATCAGTTACTCTTGGACACCAACACGTACCAGCCATTGAAGAGGGACCCTACCAGTGGGTTTAGGAAAAAGATTATAGACTTCCTTCAGAGCGTATTGAAAAAGGGCATTATTGAAAAACCACTATATTACAAACTTTACCCAGGAGACACCATTCCCAGTATTTATGGACTCCCAAAAATACACAAACAAAACTTTCCACTTCGGCCTATTGTATGTAGCATAGACTCTATCACCTACAACCTGGCTAAACACCTCAAAACCATTCTGGCTCCTTTGGTGGGTAACACCCACCATCACATAGAAAACACAAAAGAATTAGTAAATAAAATCAAACACCTCCAGTTTGACACAGATGAGACAATGGTCTCGTTTGATGTGACATCGCTTTTTACGTCTGTCCCTATTACAGAGGCGGTGGAGGCGGTGTAAGAGAAAGCCTACAGAAAGACGCCACACTAGGGGAGAGAACGAAACTAACAGCTGACCACATCTGTGAAATACTTGAAATGTGTCTTAACACCACGTATTTCCAATTTAGAGGCACCTTCTTTAGACAGATTCATGGCTGTGCGATGGGCTCCCCAGTCTCTCCTATAGTGGCCAATCTGTATATGGAGAAACTGGAGGAACAAGCCCTGGTCTCTTCCCAAGGGACAGCACCATGCCATTGGTTTCGATATGTAGACGATACATGGGTTAAGTTAAAGAAACAGGAAGTGGAACCATTTTCAAAACACATTAATTCGGTGGACCCCTTTATAAATTTCACTCGTGAGGATGCTAAGGAGAGTGAACTCGCCTTTCTAGATTGTAAGGTCATCATCCTTGAGAACGGACAATTAGAGACTGAGGTCTTCAGAAAGTCCACTCACACTGACCAGTACTTGGCCTTTGATTCAAATCATCCGCTACAACACAAACTCGGGGTCATTAGAACGCTTCACCACCGAGCCCACCACGTCCCCACTAGCTCGGAGGGAAAGAACAGAAACCAAACATGTTCAGAGAGCACTTTCCAGATGTGGCTACCCAAAGTGGTCTTTTACTAAAGCCCAAAGGACGAGAAAGGCCAGAGACACAGTCCAACAGACAGAAGAAAGTAGAAGAAGAGGGGTGTCCTTACCGTATGTGGCGGGAGTTTCAGAGAATCTTTAGGCAACACAAAATCCCTGTGTATTTCAAACCTTTCAACACGTTTAGACAGAAATGAGTGCATCCCAAAGACAAAACACCCAGACACAAACAGAGCAATGTGGTGTATTCAATTAAATGTAGTGAAGAGGAGTGCACTGACCACTATATTGGAGAAACCAAACAAACTCTACAGAAACGACTTTACCAACATCGTAGAGAAAACTCTAGTGGGCCACAGTCGGCTGTTCATCTCCACCTCAAGGCCTCCAACAGAGGTTAAAATTCTGTCTCGGGAGTAGAATTGGTTTGAGAGAGGGGTGAAAGAATTTTTGTGAGGAAACAAAAACCTTCTCTTAACAGAGGAGGAGGGTTAAGATTTGTTTTGCCTCGCATCTATGACGACATCCTAAAAACAACGCCCTAACTTGTGACAAGGTCAGTGACATGCTAATGAGTTAGGGTCGTTAGCCTCAGCAGGGTCGTTAGACCTGCTCCCTTCTACATCAAACAGACCTTAGATTGTTTATGAGTTAGTATCAGGATTAGGGTTTGGCTAACCACACCCATTGGTTATAAATCTCCAATGCGCGGTCTGAGAATTAATTCCCTGAAGAAGTCCGCTGGTTTGAGGACGAAACGTCGGGAAAACCTGCTAAGAAGTACAGATGATGGGTGAGAAACCTTCCTTTGCTTTGACTAATCCCTGTACGACTGAGGGCTTACACAAATTAAAAGTTAGATACAAAAATAAAATAAAATAAAATAAACAGACAAATGTCACTGTGAAATCGATCGACTAAAACAGTGTCAATGCAAAGAGCAAGAACATTAAAGTGCTCTGTTCACACTGATAACAGCTTGTGGGAAGAAGCTGTTAGCATGTCGAGATGTCCTGCATCTCAGAGAGCGATATCTTCTGCCAGAGGGAAGAAGCTGGAACATGGCTTTCCCAGGGTGGCCAGAAGAGTCATTAACAATCCTAAGAGCTTTGTTTAAAAGTCTGGAATGGTAAAGAACCTCCAGAACAGGAAGCTCACAGCCCACGGTCCTCTTTGCAGAGCGGAGCACCTTGTTTAAAGATCTCTTTTCTTTATCTGTGATGTTTCCAAACCACACAGACACAGAACCAGCAAGTAAACTCTCAATGGTGCAGTGATACAAGTTAAGCAGAATCTTAGAGTTAGAGGTTAATTCTCTACGTTTTCGCAGAAAGTAGAGACGCTGCTATGACACCTTTTAACAATGTCTGGGGTCCATTTTTGCTACATATTGACCCTTTAAATTTCCCTTTCGAGCTGGAAGGTGATTGATTGGATTCTAGTTTACGTACTTCTTTGAAATACTAACTTTCCTTTTTCTTTTCTTTTTGTGTTATGTGTATATTAATTTTCCTTCGCCGGTCTTCCCCCCCTTTGTACTCCTGTGGTCTTCTCCTATTGGCTTTTAACTAGAAAAAGAAAATGTTTTTCTATTTTTAACTTTATTTACATTCTTATGGCAGACCCAGTTGTGAATGAGTGTGTGAATATTTGTGATTATGTGGCCTGTGGGTGGGTGGGTGGTTTTTGTACATACAGAATGTAAAGTTGGACTGCTATGGTTATATCTTGATTGTACTGTATGTCGGGTTTTATTATTAAAAAATGTTCAATAAATAAAGTAAAAACACTGACCGAGTCTTAACGACTCGGTCAGTGTTTTTAACCCATTTCAGGTCGTTAGAGTTAAACCCAGAAACTTGCACTCCTCTACAATCTGTACCTGGGAGTTGTCGATTACGACAGGCAAATGAGACCTATTGCGACTGAAGTCGTAGACCAGTTCACATGTTTTCGATGCGTTCAACTGGAGGTTGTTAGTTTGACTCCACTGAGGAGAACCAGTGCTCACAGAAACAACATCAGAAAAACGGTCATTGATTTTCACTCTCTGAGATCTGTCAGTTAAAAAGCTAAAAATCCATTTACACATGGCAACACTTAAACCGAGAGACATGAGCTTTTCAATCAGTTTACCTGGGACAAGGCAGTTAAAAGCAGAGCTATAATCGATGAAAAGCATTCTCGCAACAGATTTACTAGTGTCCAAGTGACTGTAGACAGAGTTCAGAGCAAAGGAGATGGCATCCTCCACACACCCTCACTAAAACACACCCTCACTACACCCTCACTACAACACACCCTCACTACACCCTCACTACACTCTCACTACAACACACCCTCACTACTCTCACTACAACACACCCTCACTACTCTCACTACAACACACCCTCACTACACTCTCACTACAACACACCCTCACTACTCTCACTACAACACACCCTCACTACACCCTCACTACACTCTCACTACAACACACCCTTACCACACCACACCCTCACTACACCCTCACTACAACACACCCTCACTACACCCTCACTACACTCTCACTACAACACACCCTCACTACTCTCACTACAACACACCCTCACTACACCCTCACTACACTCTCACTACAACACACCCTCACTACTCTCACTACAACACACCCTCACTACACTCTCACTACAACACACCCTCACTACACTCTCACTACAACACACCCTCACTACACTCTCACTACAACACACCCTCACTACACTCTCACTACAACACACCCTCACTACACCCTCACCACAACACACCCTCACTACACTCTCACTACAACACACCCTCACCACAACACACCCTCACTTTGACCCTCACTACAACACACCCTCACTCTGACCCTCACTACAACACACCCTTTCCACAGCACATCTACACCCTCACCCTGACCCTCACTCCAACACACCCTCACCCTGACCCTCACCACAACACACCCTCACTACACCCTGACCCTCACTACAACACACCCTCACCACAACACATCTACACCCTCACTACAACACACCCTCACCCTTCCTACAACACACCCTCACTGTGTTTGTGTTCGTGTGTGTGTGTCTGTCTGTGTTTGTGTGTCTCTGTGTGTGTGTGTGTGTGTGTGTTCGTGTTCGTGTTCCAGGCAGAGGCCTGTAAGTCTGTGGAGTATGCCATGAAAAAGTGTCCTAATGGAATGTACTCTGAGATCAAATACGACGGGGAGAGAGTCCAGGTCCACAAGAGCGGAGACACCTTCAGCTACTTCAGCCGCAGCCTCAAGCCTGTGCTGCCCCACAAGGTCTTAGAACACACACACACATGCACCTATACATACACTCACACATATGCATGCACACGCACTTATACAGTACATACATACAAACTTATACCCGCACCTTTACATACACACGCACCTATACATGCATACACACACGCACGCATACATACACACACACCTATACATGCATACACACACGCACGCATACATACACAGACATACACAGACATGGACGCACACACAGTCTGTGTAGTTCATATAAACCCTCTGCAGGTGGCTCACTTAAGAGACTACATCAGACATGCATACACACACACACATACGCGCAGACACACACACACACACAGTCACACACACAGTTACACACACACACAGTCTGTATAGTTCATATACACCTTCTGCAGGTGGCTCACTTCAAAGACTACATCCCGGAGGCGTTTCCAGGAGGACACAGTATGATCCTGGACGCTGAGGTTCTGCTCATCGACACAAACACCAGCAAACCCCTGCCCTTTGGGACTCTAGGGGTCCACAAGGTATGTCTCAGTATACATGTCTCAGTATGTCTCAGTATACATGTCTCAGTATAAATGTCTCAGTATGTGTGTCTCAGTATACATTTCTCAGTGTACATGTCTCTGTATACATGTCTCTGTATACATTCCTCAGTATACATGTCTCTGTATACATGTCTCACATGTCTCTGTATACATTCCTCAGTATACATGTCTCTGTATACATGTCTCACATGTCTCTGTATACATGTCTCTGTATACTTGTCTCTGTATACATGTCTCACATGTCTCTGTATACATGTCTCTGTATACATGTCTCACATGTCTCTGTATACATGTCTCACATGTCTCTGTTTACATGTCTCACATGTCTCTGTATACATGTCTCACATGTCTCTGTATACATGTCTCACATGTCTCTGTATACATGTCTCACATGTCTCTGTATACATGTCTCTGTATACTTGTCTCTGTATACATGTCTCACATGTCTCTGTATACATGTCTCTGTATACATGTCTCACATGTCTCTGTATACATGTCTCACATGTCTCTGTTTACATGTCTCACATGTCTCTGTATACATGTCTCACATGTCTCTGTATACATGTCTCTGTATACATGTCTCACATGTCTCTGTATACATGTCTCACATGTCTCTGTATACATGTCTCACATGTCTCTGTTTACATGTCTCACATGTCTCTGTATACATGTCTCACATGTCTCTGTATACATGTCTCACATGCCTCAGTATACATGCCTCAGTATACATCCCTCAGTATACATGTCTCTGTATACATGTCTCACATGTCTCTGTATACATGTCTCAGTATACATGTCTCAGTATTTCTCAGTATACATACAGACTGCTTGTGTCCACAGAAAGCTGCTTTCCAAGACGCCAACGTGTGTTTGTTTGTGTTCGACTGCATCTACTTCAATGGAGTCAGCCTCATGGAGCGGTAAGATCGCCTCCTGCTCCTCCTCCTCCTGCTTCTCCTCTTCCTCCTCCTCCTCCTGCTTCTCCTCCTCTTCCTGCTTCTCCTCCTCCTGCTCTTCTTCCTCCTGCTCCTCTTCCTCCTCCTGCTCCTCTTCCTCCTCCTACTGCTCCTTCTCCTGCTCTTCCTCTTGCTCCTCTTCCTCCTCCTCCTGCACTTCCTCCTCCTCTTCCTCCTTCTTCTTTTACTCCTCCTCTTTTGTCCTTCACTGTTGAACAAATTTTATGGGGTTTTTATTGGCACTTTGGAAATGAGGGAATAAAAATGTTCTGGCTCCAAGGACTCAGGGAACAGGAGGAGGACAGATGTGTGTGTCTCTGTACAGATGTGTGTGTCTGTACAGATGTGTGTGTGTCTCTGTACAGATGTATGTGTCTCTGTACAGATGTGTGTGTCTCTGTACAGATGTGTGTGTCTCTGTACAGATGTGTGTGTCTCTGTACAGATGTGTGTGTCTCTGTTCAGATGTGTGTGTCTCTGTACAGATGTGTGTGTCTCTGTACAGATGTGTGTTTCTCTACACGCACAGAGAGACACACATACAAGTATATTGTATATGAAGTAGAGCCCATACAAACATATGAACACAATTCAAGCTAAAGTGGGCTCCGCTGGGCCCGGCTTAAACACCTGTAGAGTGATGGTAACTGCAGACCTCTCTGTCCACAGACCTCTGTGTGAGCGTAGGAAGTTCCTGGTGGACAACATGGTGGAGGTTCCGAACCGCATCTTGTTCTCTGAGATGAAGCACGTCACAGTAAGGCTCTTCTTCCACTTGATCCGGGGCTGGGCAGCAGCGGCAGTAGTCTCACTCACACTTCCTCATTCAGACCATCACATTCTGTTTCCTTTTTGAGAGTCGTACGCTAAAGCTGGGGTACCTAACTTTAAAACCCATAACAGAACTCTCTCTTCTGGTTCTATCAGTTCAACAGGTCTGTAGCTTTGGCCTCTGTCACCACTGCTAGTATTGCACTGATTGTGATGTCACACTTTCCCTTCTCCGTCTGACAACATCAGTTAAAGACTAACTGTAGTGTGTGGGCCTAAAACATCCACAGTGACACTGGCTTTTAGTAACTGTTTGTCATAGCGCCCCCTGCTGGTCAGAGCAGACACACACTGTAGTGTCAGTGCTGCCCCATGGTGGACACACACTGTAGTGTCAGTGCTGCCTCCTGGTGGAGGACACACACTGTAGTGTCAGTGCTGCCCCTGGTGGACACACACTGTAGTGTCAGTGCTGCCCCTGGTGGACACACACATTGCCATAGACACTGAGCCCTGAATGTAATAAGCAATAATTCAAAGTAAACTTTATTAAACCCAGAACAAGACTTTAGTTTCAGTCTCAGCAGCTGGACTCAGTATGTTCATAGAAATTTGTTGTGCAGAGTTACAGTGTGTGTCTGTGTGTGTGTTCAGAGAGCTGCAGACCTGGCTGACATGATCACCAGAGTCATCAGAGAAGGTCTGGAGGGTCTGGTGCTCAAGGACCTCAAGGTGTGTACTCTTACTCACTCTCTCCTTCTCCTTATATAATATATATATATATATATATATATATATATATATATATATATATATATATATATATATATATATATATATATATATATATATATATATATTATTAGGGCTGGGACTCGATTAAAAAAAAAAAATCCAATTGATTAGAGGCTTTGTAATTAATTAATCTCGATTAATCGCATTTTAATTGCATATAAATATTTGTCCTGAGAACAGTGAGAAGTAATTTTTTTTCACATGGATTTTTAGTTTACCATTGAATAATGACTGAATACATAAGCAACACATGTTCATTGTGGATGATCAGACGGACTTCTTTCCATCAAATAACGTTTCTGTCATCGCCTCCACACACTCTGTCCACAACATACACTTCTTAAGCCCAAAATCCACTGCACTCGAAGTGAGTTCAAAAGCTTATAATACGTTTTTGATGTGTGCATTTGAACTAAAACAGGGGTGCTCACACTTTTTCAGCATGCGAGCTACTTATAAAATGATCAAGTCAAAATGATCTACCTACTACCTAAATGCAAAACATATATTTATTTATAGTATAGTACCGTAGTTACATGCGTAACTTCCGTTCTGTAGCGGCACTTACAGTCATAGTAGAAACTCTGGGAGAAGACGTATTATTATAGATCCATGGTGAAGGCATATGTTTAAAAGCATTGACCCCAGTCCTCAGCCCTGGTTTGATCCTGTTTAGCTCCTGTTTTTTTGCCTGATCACTTTGCTGCTCTCTGATGTGGAGCGAGGATCGCTGCTGTGAACCGCTGCAGCAGTGAACAGTTTTTTAGGCAGTATGATCCATGCTTCAGTGATCAGAGGTCGCACGTTTTGTTTGTTGTTGTTGTTTTGGGAGCATACTGTGGCGTGCAAAAACGCAAAACTCCGGTTATCTCTTTCCACACGCAAATGCATAAACTGATTTTTTTTAATGTAATGCGATCTTCCAATACTACCTTTGCGATCGACGTATTGAGCACCCCTGAACTAACACATCAGCAAAAGCAGCTCACACACCTGTGTCTCTGCCATAGCTGCTCCTCCTCCTCCACCGCTTCCTCCTCCTCACACACAGGAGTCGCTGCTCCTTCTTCTCCGAGGAGTCGCTTGCTGCTCCTCCTCCTCGGTGGCTGAGTGGATAGCACTCTCGCCTCTCAGGTCCTGGGTTCAAATCCCGGTCGGACCAGGGCCTTTCTGAGTGGAGTTTGCATGTTCTCCCCGTGTCTGCGTAGGTTTCCCCTACCACTAAAAATATGTACAATAGGTCTGTACTGGCGACCCTGCTCCCATCTCTGTGTGGAGTGAGAGACAAATGCCCAAAATTAACAATTGTAAACCGCTTTGAGACTCAGATTTGCAGGGAAAAGGCTTTATATAAATAAAGATTACTTACTTACAGTGAGTCCATAGCTCCATACACAGCTTTCCCGTCTCTAACTCACTCACTCACTACTCAGACAGCTAAAGTTGGTCTACTTTTGAACAAAAGTCAGCTCAGTTGGTGCGCCAGTATAATCGGTCCGTCTGAAACATAGCCTCCAGTAAAATGCGTTAAATTTTTTAACGCACTAATTTTTGTGCCGTTAATTAATCGTAATTAACGCGTTAAAGTCCCGCCCCTAATATATATATATATATGATTATGTATATATATTTTAATTAATTGCGTAACAAAAATTCATGCATTTGATGCATGTCCGAATGACCCGCCCATGCATGCCATAATTACACTCAGAGCCGCGGACACATGCGTGTGTGAGATGGACACATGCGTGTGTGAGATGGACACATGCGTGTGTGAGATGGACACATGCGTGTGTGAGATGGACACATGCGTGTGTGAGATGGACACATGCGTGTGTGAGATGGACACATGCGTGTGTGAGATGGACACATGCGTGTGTGAGATGGACACATGCGTGTGTGAGATGGACACATGCGTGTGTGAGATGGACACATGCGTGTGTGAGATGGTGACAGAGCAGGTCTCTGGGAATTCAAGTTTTAAAAGAAACTGCGCGTGACCACGGCACCTGCTGTTGTTTGCTATGAACTGAACAGGAGTCTGCATCCTCCTGCAGCGTTCTGACCCGAGGCAGCTGCGGCCGCTCTGGACAGAGGTTCCCACCTCCAGCGGCTGTCGCTTTGACAACAACACGCCACAGGACCATAGACACAGGACCATAGACACAGGACCATAGACACAGGACCATAGACACAGGACCATAGACACAGGACCATAGACACAGGACCATAGACACAGGACCATAGACACAGGACCATAGACACAGGACCATAGACACAGGGCCATAGACACAGGGCCATAGACACAGGGCCATAGACACAGGGCCATAGACACAGGACCATAAACTCAGGACCATAAACTCAGGACCATAGACACAGGACCATAGACACAGGACCATAGACACAGGACCATAAACTCAGGGCCATAGACACAGGGCCATAGACACAGGACCATAACCAAAGGACCATAGACAAAGGACCATAGACACAGGACCATAGACACAGGACCATAGACACAGGACCATAGACACAGGACCATAGACACAGGACCATAGACACAGGGCCATAGACACAGGGCCATAGACACAGGGCCATAGACACAGGGCCATAGACACAGGGCCATAGACACAGGACCATAAACTCAGGATCATAGACACAGGGCCATAGACACAGGGCCATAGACACAGGACCATAAACTCAGGACCATAGACACAGGACCATAGACACAGGACCATAGACACAGGGCCATAGACACAGAACTATTCTCTGCTTGTTTTGTCTTAGCGTTACCTGTGCACGCAATAAATGCACAGCTGAAGCTGAGCCTCAGGAAGTGTCCGTGTCTCCTCTGTTTCTGCTCCGTGTCCCGCCCTTGTCTCCCCCGTGTCTCCTCCATGTCTCCTCAGTGTCTCCTCAGTGTCTCCTCCATGTCTTCCCCGTGTCTCCTCCATGTCTCCTCCGTGTCTCCTCCGTGTCTCCTCCATGTCTCCTCAGTGTCTCCTCCATGTCTCCCCCGTGTCTCCTCCATGTCTCCTCAGTGTCTCCTCCATGTCTCATCCGTGTCTCCTCAGTGTCTCCTCCATGTCTCCTCAGTGTTTCTTCCATGTCTCCTCTGTGTCTCTTCCATGTCTCCCCCGTGTCTCCTCCATGTCTCCTCAGTGTCTCCTCCATGTCTCATCCGTGTCTCCTCAGTGTCTCCTCCATGTCTCCTCAGTGTTTCTTCCATGTCTCCTCAGTGTCTCCTCCATGTCTCATCCGTGTCTCCTCAGTGTCTCCTCCATGTCTCCTCAGTGTTTCTTCCATGTCTCCTCTGTGTCTCTTCCATGTCTCCTCCGTGTCTCCTCCATGTCTCCTCAGTGTCTCTTCCATGTCTCCTCTGTGTCTCTTCCATGTCTCCTCCGTGTCTCCTCCATGTCTCCTCAGTGTCTCTTCCATGTCTCCTCAGTGTCTCTTCCATGTCTCCTCAGTGTCTCTTCCATGTCTCCTCCGTGTCTCTTCCATGTCTCCTCAGTGTCTCCTCAGTGTCTCCTCCGTGTCTCCTCCGTGTCTTTGATGTGGATTTATTGTTATAATATACAGTACATATGTACACTGTCATTTATCTTTCTATTCAAACACCCTTTTACAGAAAATTATGGCAAAGTAGTTAATTACGACTGTAGTTCACTATAGTTTACAAGATGTTAAAGGTGTGACAGGTGTAACAGATGTTACAGATGTTGCAGGTGTTTCAGGTAGGTAGGTTCTTTTTATTCAGCTCTTGAAAATGCATAGCTATACAAAATTCAAAACATTGAAACAAATCATTCAAACATTTCCATGATCAGAAAGAAGCAGATAGAAGAATAAAATTCTTATATTTTTTTGCCCCCTCTTTTAAAAAAACAAAATTAGATGGTTTTGCTGCTGATTCCTCTGCCTTCTTCATCAGAACATACTATATATATATATATATATATATATATATTATACACACACACACACACACACACATACATTTCATAATAAACATAAGACATAATTAAACATCACTTTTGTAGATTTGGATTTGTTTCCTTTTGTAAGTCTCTTTGAATTCCAAAATGGTCCTGCAATTTTTTTAATCTTTCTCTTGAGAATTCCACAATTTTACTCCAACCACAGACAAACTCATCTGTTTTAAAGTTGTTCGTGCTATTTGATGTTTGAAGTCATATCTCCTATGATTTTGATTTTCTGAAGTAAACACAAATAAATGTTGTAACTCTTCTGGAAGAGCTCTGTTTCTGGCTTTAAACATGATCAATAACGTTTGTAACTCAACTATATTCTTGAACTTAAGTGGTCCTGATCTAATGAAAAGGGGATTAGTGTGATCTCTAAATCCAGCTTTATAAACAATTCGAATGGCTCTTTTCTATAATAGTTAGTTCTATTATTTATTATTATTATTAGGCTTTATGTTGGTGCTGTAGGAATTACCCCATATTTCTACACAGTAATTGAAATAAGGAAGTATCATTGAGCAATATAACATTCTCAAAGTGTTACATGGTAACAAATATTTGGATTTATTCAATATAAATAAACTTTTAGATACCTTGTTCTTTACATGCATTATATGTGATTTCCAAGTCAGTTTGTCATCCAAGATCACTTCGAGAAATCTAATTTCCGGCACTTTCTCAATTACATTTACATCATTAATAGAAATTTTAACTTCAGGTTTTATTTTATTCCTCAGCTAAACTTATCAAATCATCACCTGAGCAAAAGAAGTTTGTATCATCTGCAAATAATACATGCTGAAACATTTTTGAGACCTCACAGATATTGTTTATATATAAAATAAATAATTTGGGTCCTAAAATTGAACCTTGTGAAGTCCACATTTAATATTCAAGCTCTCTGACCTGTGGCCATCAAACTGAACATACTGTTGTCTCTGATGTAAAGAGCTGGTTAGCCGATCCAGCACGACTCCCGTCACTCCACAGATGAGAAGTGAGTGATCTATCATGCCGAAAGCCTTCTTTAAATCAATGAAAACCCTGATTGTGTATTTCTTTTTGTCAATTGCTGTTGATATGTGTCCTACAATTTTCATTATGGCTAAGCTTGTCGCCCTATTAGACCGAAATCCATACTGACTTTCATTCAATAGTTTGTTTTTTTCTATAAAGCTGTCTAAATTATTCACAATTTTTTAAATATTTTTGAAAATTGAGATAGGGGTGAAACTGGTCTGTAATTGTAATTTGTCTCCAGTTTTAAAAAAAAGGAATTACCTTAGCGGTTTTCATCCCATCTGGAAAAACTCCTCTTTTAAAAGACAGATGAATTATATAATGTGGTTTAATAAAACAATCTATGGTTATTTTTAATATTTGCATGTCAATGCCATCACTGTCCAAGGATTTGTTTTTCAATTTAGAAACAGATAATATTTCATTATCAGTCACTTCATCTAAAAACATTGATTGCATGATTCTATTTTCCCTGGTCCAAACGCTTTGGATTTGGCCAGTTGCTCTTGGCATTTCACTCGCTAAGTTGGGTCCCACATTTCTGAAAAACATATTTAACTCATTGACCATTTCTTCTTTATTTTCAATTACTAGATTATTGTACTTTTCAAAATACTTGGGTAACTCTGTTGAGCCTCCTATGACTTTGTTCAGAGTCATAAGACAGATGGTACAGGTGTTGCAGATGGTACAGGTGTAACAGATGTTAGATGGTACAGGTGTTGCAGGTGTTGCAGATGGTACAGGTGTTGTAGATGTTACAGGTGTATGTGTTCCCTGTGTGCAGGGCTCCTATGAACCAGGGAAGCGCCACTGGCTGAAGGTGAAGAAGGATTATCTGAATGAAGGAGCGATGGCCGACACTGCAGACCTGGTGGTTCTGGGGGCTTTCTACGGCAAGGGCTCCAACGGTCTGTCACCTTGAGTTATATTTATAACTCTTTTATGTGGATTTATTGTTGTTATAATAAATAGAGTACATATGAACACTGTCATTTATCTTTCCATTACAACAACCATTTACACAGAAATATGGCATTTTGCCGATAGTTTTGAAATGCAATTAATTACAATTAATTATTTCTTAAGCTGTAATTTAAGCTAACATTTGTAATCATTTGACAGCCCTGATGGATAGATAGATATGAAATAATGTACCAGAACTGAGCAGAGAACTTTACAAACTTGGTGTCACTCAACGCCAAGTTTACAACAAATTAAAACAGAAAATTGTAAGAAACAAAAGCCTGAGCTCAGGTACATGTTAAACACTGACCCTGTGCTGTGTACCTGTGCTCTACCAGGTGGCATCATGTCCAGCTTCCTCATGGGATGTTTGGATCCTGAGTCTGGGAAGTGGTGCACAGTCACCAAGTGCTCAGGAGGCTACGACGACGCTATGCTAGCACGGCTACAGAAGGAGCTGGACATGGTTAAGATCAGTAAGGTGTGTGTCCTCGGCTGCTCCTCTGCTTCTGCTCTGCTTCTGCTCGTCTGCTCCTCCTCTGCTTCTGCTCGTCTGCCCCTCCTGTTTCTGCTCCTCTGCTCTTCCTCTTCCTCTGCTCCTCTGCTTCTTCTCTGCTGCTCCTCTTTTCTCTTCTCGTGCTCCTCTCACTACTGTCTGTGGCTACAACTGAGACACCTGTAATTATTGTTTGTGTGTGTGTCTGTGTGTGTGAATAGGAACCAGGGAAGATTCCCGGTTGGATAAAGATTGTGAAGAACTATTACCCCGACTTCATTATCCGAGACCCTAAGGCGAGTTTCCATTGAATGTGTGTGTGTATCGCCCTGAATCACAACAGCAGTTGTTGATTCACCAACATAGATCAGAGAATCAAAGTGTGTGAGTGTGTGCAGAGCGCCCCCGTGTGGGAGATCACAGGAGCAGAGTTCTCCAAGTCTGAGATGCACACAGCAGACGGCATCTCCATCCGCTTCCCACGAATGACTCGAGTGAGAGACGATAAGGACTGGAAGACTGCCACCAACCTGCCCCAGCTGAGGGTGAGTGCCCCCTACTGTCCCCTAACCACACTACACCTGCCCCAGTTGAGAGTGAGTGCCCCCTACTGTCCTCTAACCACACTACACCTGCCCCAGCTGAGAGTGAGTGCCCCCTACTGTCCCCTAACCACACTACACCTGCCCCAGTTGAGAGTGAGTGCCCCCTACTGTCCCCTAACCACACTACACCTGCTCCAGCTGAGGGTGAGTCTACTGCGAGGCACACATGTTGCGGTACGCATGTTGAGGCACATGTCCTCATTACAATGTCTGTATCTGTGGCAGGAGCTGTTCCGTATCTCCAAAGAAAACTGTGACTTCCAGGTGAGTGCAAGGCCCTCAGAGATCAAAGAGGAGAGGGGCTCCTCAGGAGGAGACTCCCCCCCTCCCAGAGCCCCCCCCAAGACCACGCCCAAAGCCAAGGCCAAGCCCAAAGCTCCTCCCAAAGCCACGCCCCCAGCGCCAAAGAGGAAGAGTAAGTCTCTCTCTGGTCTCTCTCTCTCTGGTCTCTCTCTCTCTGGTCTCTCTCTCTCTGGACTCTCTCTCTCTGGACTCTCTCTCTCTGGACTCTCTCTCTCTGGTCTCTCTCTCTCTGGTCTCTCTCTCTCTGGTCTCTCTCTCTCTGGTCTCTCTCTCTCTGGTCTCTCTCTCTCTGGTCTCTCTCTCTCTGGTCTCTCTCTCTCTGGTCTCTCTCTCTCTGGTCTCTCTCTCTCTGGTCTCTCTCTCTGGTCCTCATCCCAGTGTTGTTTACAGGTCCCAGTTCTCCCAGTGTTGTGCCTAAAGCTGTGAAGTCTGAGCCGCGGACTCCAGAGTCTGAGGCCAAGAAGGTCTGTCACTGTTGCGTGTGTGTGTATATGATGTGTTGAGCTGTTTGTGTTGATGTGTGTGTGTTGTGTTGCAGGTGAAGACTGAGCCCCACACTAACGGACAGAGCCATCCCAGAGGTTCTGCTCAGCTGCTGGAGGCCTCTCAGGACCAGGTGAGACCTCACTATCACATAGGACCAGGTGTTAGAGAGAAGTAGTCATCAATCAGACGTCACGGAGGAAGCATTGATTGCAGACACGAGGCCAATGGTATCTGCCTCATGTACAGATTCTCCAAAGACGTTTTGCTTCAACTCTCTCTGGTTTCTATCAACGCACATTTAAAAGGTTTAGTGCTGATCCTGGGGTTGGTCTTTTAAATCTAGACATGAGCCAAGAAGGACCTTATCTGGATCACACCAGACCAAGAGGCCTTCATTCAAGGGGAATCCTACCAACCATCTTAGCGACCTCCTGTTCTGTGCTCAGTGTCTGACATGGGCGGGCAGCATCCTTCTCTGTGCTCAGTCTGTCCCTGTGTCCTCAGACGCTTCTGGACGTCTTCAGTGGTGTGAAGCTGCACCTGTCCTCCTCCCTCCAGGACTTCCACAAACTCAGGAGGTACTTTGTGGCCTACGACGGAGACCTGGTACCAGACTACGACCGCTCCTCTGCCACTCACAGCATGGGGGAGGACCAGGACCAGGACCAGTCTGTGGAGAGAGTGTCCCCCCGCTGGCTGTGGGAGTGCATCCGCAAGAGACGCCTGGTGCCCTCCTGCTGACCACCTCCTCACATTCTAACCCCAATAAAAATTTCCTCTGTGTGGTACAACACTGAATAATCATGGATGAGATACAACAAAAAAACTATCTTTAATTTCAGTTTGATGATGCAGACAAGCTTTGGCCTTGACATATGTAAATAACACAGCTGAGCTCCCACCCTCCCCTTGGGGTCTGAGCTCCCTCCCACCCTCCCTCCCCTTGAGGTCTGAGCTCCCCCCCTCCCCTTGAGGTCTGAGCTCCCTCCCTCCCACCCTCCCCTTGGGTCTGAGCTCCCTCCCTCCCTCCCTCCCACCCTCCCACCCTCCCCTTGGGTCTGAGCTCCCTCCCTCCCTCCCTCCCACCCTCCCTCCCACCCTCCCTCCCACTGGGTCTGAGCTCCCTCGACAGTCTTTTTCCTCCAAACCTGTCGCTATAAAAGTCTTGGGATGTTTCTGACTTTTTTCACACTTTTGGTCGATTTCTCTGAGATTCCGTTTTGTACATTTTTATTATGAGACTAAACGTGACGTTTGAAGAAAGTTTTGTTTGTAGAAGAATAATGTCTCACAATAAATCTTTCATTTGCCTCAAAGCAGATCTTTGTCGTCATTAGGAATCAGAGCTGTGTTTGTGTGTATGGGTGTGTGTGTGTCTAGGTGTGTGTTTGTGTGTGTGTCAGCTTGTGTCCTTCCTCTTGGTGGAAGTGTCTCTGTGGCTCCACCATCTCAGATCAAAGTCCACTCTGCGATGACACGGCTGGAAACAAAGACAAGATTCTTCAGAGAAACTGTGAGGATCATGTGTACCTGTGTGTGTATATTAGGACCATGTGTGTATCTAAGAAGCGTGTGTACCTGTCTGGAGGACTTTGTCAGCGTTGCGGACCTCCATGAACTGAGGCTGTGTCCTCTGGTCTCCTCCTGCAGGAGGTGTGTGTCTCCTCTGGTCTCCTCCGGCAGGAGGTGTGTGTCTCCTCTGGTCTCCTCCGGCAGGAGGTGTGTGTCTCCTCTGGTCTCCTCCGGCAGGAGGTGTGTGTCTCCTCTGGTCTCCTGCAGGAGGTGTGTGTCTCCTCTGGTCTCCTCCGGCAGGAGGTGTATGTCTCCTCTGGTCTCCTCCGGCAGGAGGTGTGTGTCTCCTCTGGTCTCCTCCGGCAGGAGGTGTGTGTCTCCTCTGGTCTCCTCCTGCAGGAGGTGTGTGTCTCTGGTCTCCTCCAGCAGGAGGTGTGTGTCTCTGGTCTCCTCCTGCAGGAGGTGTGTGTCTCCTCTGGTCTCCTGCAAGAGGTGTGTGTCTCCTCTGGTCTCCAGCAGGAGGCGTGTACGAGGGAGGTGGCTCCAGGACACTCCTAGAGCAGGACGCACCCTCCCCCCCACACTGCGGGTCACATGGTTGGTCACCTGACGACAACACACTGCATTAACTGGATTATAGTCATTTGTCCCCTCCCTGTCCTCTGTCCTGCCCCCTCCTTGTCCTTAGTAAAAGCAGATTTGACTTTGATGAAACAGAAAGAAACACTTCAGTCTCAGTTTCGTTCTCACCAAAACTGCAACGTTAAAGTCTTTGGCCAGAACTTTGAGGAGGCATCCCACCTGCACCATCAGAGACAGGCCTACGGACACACAAAGAGACAGACACACACACACACACACACAGATACAGACCCACAAACAGGGTAGAGTGGGTCAAAGCAAAAACAGTAAAACAAAACAATTTCTTAACTGCTGTTACAAAAACAAAGCTAGCTCTTGTTAGCTTCAGCTGCTGTTATAATCTCAACAGCTTTAAATACTTTATAAAATATTTAAACTTTTAATAAATATGACCCTCACCTTCTTTGACCCTTGACCCCAGCAGAGGAGACAGCACAGAACAGACTGAGTCCATGATCACCACTCGGACACTGGCCCCGCCCCCTGACACCTGAGGGTGGGGGTGAGGGTGAGGGTCAGCCTCATGAATCTATAATAATATCTGCAGAGTGTATTACAGCATTCTCCTGGTACTGAAGATTAAACAAGACTAAATTTCCTAAACCCAGAAATATTCCCCACAGAACTGACTGAGAACCTGACAGAGAACCTGACGGAGAACCTACAGCTTTCATAAAGGAGGATTCTATGGATATTAGTGTCTCTTGTCATCATTAACTTTTTTCTGTAAATCCACTTTAGTGAAACAAACTGCTCTGATTGGTCAGAACGCTGCCTTCTGATTGGGCCTCCATGTTAGCCTCCACCAAGCCCCGGTGATCCAAGATGGCGTCCTATTCAAATGAATGGCTTGTGCTCAGTGGCTCATGGGACTTCTCGGGGACCGGGAGATTAGCAGAACTCTCCCATATTTGGGCATCGTCTGGTCTTCCCGGTTCTGTGCAGTGGACGAGCTCCCATGATGCTTTGCGCCAAATACGCGTGTGTGGCTCTCATGCACGTGCACAGAGGGGCTCGGCCGTGTTCTGACCAATCAGAGCGGAGCTAGAGTGGGAAGGAAACTAGCAGTTTGTGGATTTAAAGAAAACTGAAGCATTTACGAAGAAAGAAGTTCAGGATGACAAGGGACACTGAAATCCCCACAAAATCCTCCTTTATGAAAGCTGTAGGTTCTCTGTCAGGTTCTCTGTCAGCTGAGGTCGAGCTGTTTTAGTTTACATTGAGTTGGGACTTTTTTCTGTGTGGCCCACGTGAATTTAGTCTGCAGTACCACAGCGCCCCCTGTGGCCATGGGTGGGACAGCTATAAGCTAGTAATACTCTATCCAGTTATTATAGATCCATGGGCTCCACACACACAGCAGAGACACACCTGTTGCAGTCCGCAGTGTCGCAGGTTGTAAAGACAGTCCAACAGTGAGAACACGTCAAACACACGGAACACATGGATCCTCTGGAGAGCTGCAGTCTGTACACACACAGGTACACACACGTGATACACACATGTACACACACATCAATCAAACACACATCAATACATGCGTATACACACACACACACACACACACATATATACACACACACACACACAGACACACACATACAAGTATAAAGTCATATCAGGTAAAATAGGTAAAACAATAAAAAGAAATGGGGCTGGGAGCAGATGTAACCGGCTGAAGAAGCGCCATCCAAGGAGCCATCTGCACCAGGAGCAGAGAGCCGGCTGCAGCCACAGGCAACGACACAGGACCCAGAGGAGAGAGGGGCCCCAGACCCCACCAGGCCCAGGGCTCAGACCCCATAGGACCCAGAGGAGAGAGGAGGCCCCAGACCCCCACCGGATCCAAGAGCCAGACCCCTGAAGCCACAGCAGACCCCAGCTCTCAGTGCAGAGGGCTCCTCCAGAGGAAACACTGGGGACACTAAAACAATACAATAATACAATAGAAAGTAGAACAATAAAATGTGACAATAAAAAGAAAAATGGCAGCTGCCTAATATTGATAATAAGAATAGTAAATGGGTAGATACAATAAATAATTAAAAATAGTAAATGATGAAAATAAATAAAAATAGAATGTGTCTAAAAACATAAATAGATGTACTAAAAAGCAATAATAAATAATTAATACTAATCAAAATCTGTCAGGTTGATACACACACATGTACACAAACAGATACACACACATGATACACACAGATGCACACATGAACACACACCGATAAATACACATACACATGAACTCTCCTCTTAGCCCCTCCCCTCCTCCCCTCCTCTACCCTCCCCTCCACTCCACTCAACTCCTTTCCCCTCACCTCCTCTCATCTCACATTCCCCCCTTCCCTTTTCCCCTCACCTCCTCCTCTGCTCCTCTGCCTCCACACTGGATCATCTGCAGGAGTCTGGAGCCTGTGATGCCCCCGGTGGTGTCAATGAAGATCACACTCTGTTTCAGGTGAAGAGCTGTGTGCACAGCTACACCCAGGCACACCTGTGAGGGAGGAGGTGGGTGAGGGGGGGGAGAGAGCAGGGGAGGGGAGAGAGAGAGGAGGAGAGAGGAGCGGAGGGAGAGAGAGTTTGTCACACTCAATACTGAAGTCTGATGTAAACATTAAACCCAGACCTGTGTTTTGCCGCTGCCTGCTCCTCCTGCCAGCTCTGTCAGCTCCCCAGTGTACAGACCAGAGTCTAATAACTGATCCAGTCTGAGGAGACAGGAGGAGGTGGTGTGAGGAGGAGGATGAGGAGACAGGAGGAGGAGGTGGTGTGAGGAGGAGGATGAGGAGACAGGAGGAGGTGTGAGGAGGAGCACGAAGAATCAGGAGGAGATGTGAGGACGAGGAGACAGAAGGGGAAGGAGAGAAGGAGAGAGGAGGTGTGAGGAGGAGAGAAATGGAGACAGGAGGCGGGAGGACGAGGAGGAGGACAAGAAGACAGGAGGGGTAGGAGAGAAGGAGACAAGAGGAGTTTGCCATTAACCAAAATAAAGTCCTCTTCTAAAGCAAGAGTGACTCCCTCACGTCACGTGTGGTGTGCCCCAGGGTTCGACTTTAGGTCCTGTTCTATTGTACCTGCTCCCTGATTGACATGTGAAGAGGAGGAGCAGTACCTGGGGTGGCCTGTAGGTGCGGTACCTGTGGTGGCCTGTAGGTGCGGTACCTGTGGTGGCCTGTAGGTGTGGTACCTGTGGTGGCCTGTAGGTGCGGTACCTGTGGTGGCCTGTAGGTGCGGTACCTGTGGTGGCCTGTAGGTGCGGTACCTGTGGTGGCCTGTAGGTGCGGTACCTGTGGTGGCCTGTAGGTGCGGTACCTGTGGTGGCCTGTAGGTGCGGTACCTGTGGTGGCCTGTAGGTGCGGTACCTGTGGTGGCCTATAGGTGCAGTACCTGGGGTGGCCTGTGGATATGATGGCAGTAGAGAGCAGCAGTTCCTCGTACAGATCAGCTCCTGACACAGGGAACGCAGTGTGCTGAGCCAGAAGCACTCTGCGGATCGCAAACAGGGCCTACACACACAGAGACACACATAGATGCACACAGACACACACACACAGAGACGCACACAGACACACGCACTTGTTACCCAC